TTTTTTTGGTTTTTCTCCGGTACCGGGAACCGAACTCATGACCTTGCACTTGCCAGGCAGGCGCTTTTGCCGCTGAGCTAAATCCCCAGCCCCGATGTGGCAGATCTTATACAAGAGTCCAGTGAACTGCTCCACAATGTGCATTAAGGCAAATGAGTACCCGAGACGATCTGCTATTCTGTTGAATGGTCTTGAGGAAGAGAAATCCATCTCTTTTTTTGTTTGAGAATTAACTGCGTATTTCCTCTTACACCAATAAGACTTTATTAGTATCTGGAAGGTTCAGAATATAGATAAATGCATCAGTCATAGAAATATCATTCCTCCCCACTTTTTACCTTTTTTTCAGCACCACAAAAGGGTCAAATGTGAAAGCATACCTTCCTTAAAGGAGAGTACAAACTGCTCTCCTTTACAATTTACTTAATCATCTTCTCTCCCACCGCATAGTTCCCAATCTCAAATAAAACACAAGCGAAGTCGACAGTGCAGGTCAGTGACAGCACCACGTGTGTATTCACTATCATCTCCCAAGCACTAAGTACTTAGACACTGCGCCAAGAGCCTTATGAAGAACATATTTAATACCTACTTAATCAGCAGTGTGAGTTAGAAAACATTATCTTTGTCATTCTATGGCTGAGGAAAGTGAGGCTTCTAACCTCTCTTTGATTAAATAACTTACCCAGAATTAGTAAGGGGGTGGCATTGGAATGCAAAACAATGCACATTTGACATCAGACCTTGTGTTGGTAACCTTTCTGCTCTCTGAAGACTGCTACAGCAGCCATGCTATCATATCTGCTCCAGTCTGTGTTTATCAGCACTCCTGCCTGTCACCGCTTCACAATGTAACTGGGCTAGATAGCCTCTGTGATGTTCATTCAGGATTCCTTTCACTTCAGGAGCTGGAGCTGCCTCCTTGCCTCTTCCCTTCTCCTGCCTCAATTCCTGCATCTCATCCCTAGGAAAGAAACTCCCAACGTACGACACTATCTAGGAAGTGCGTTAGCATTTGTTTCTGGAGCACCCTTCTCTCTTCATTTCATCAGACTTCTTACCATATCCCTCAGTTCCATCATTATTTTTCCAGGCTTCGTAAAGTTACTTGATACCACAGCTGTGAAACTGGAGTAACGGAGGGTGGTTGTTTGTTGTTATTGTCTTTAGCATTTAATAATTGTGAAACTTAAAAATTTATAATGCAGATTTATAGGGTATGTTTAATAAAAAGCACTACTCATCATCTATTTATGCTTTTGAAATTTTCCTTTTTAGGTCAAAACTGAGGCCCCAGACCTTCCAGAAGGAAATCAAGCTGGCAAACATTACCAAGCAATTGCATACTCATCTCTCAGCCAAAGTTACCTTTCTATTGATTGGGCTTCACACTACAAAGCTTTGCTTGTGGGAGAATATCTGAATATCGTTTTAACTGCTAAAAGTCCATATATTCACAAAATAACTCATTACAATTACTTTGTAAGTATAGTAATGGTACATTTATATCTTTCCCCTCAACCTGGAATTTTTCCCCTTGCTTAGAGAAACATTAGAACATTCCTGACATTTGTATTTACAAAGTGCTTTGGAGATCATCAAATTTGAATCTCAGCTTTTCAAAAACCCTTGCTATAGGGTATGATTTTGATGACCATTTCACAAATGAGGAAACGGAGGGACAGAGAAGTTGTAAGACTCACCTAGTTCAGATTTTTTTATATGAACTGAAGACCATTGATTCCTGGCTTGATAACTCTTGATAACATAAAAAAGTGTGATTAAATCACATCACCTCTGCTGTATTTCATGGCCAAAGGTTATATGGCTGCACCTAGCTCAGATATGTGCATTACACTGACATAAAAGGGGGACCAAACCCTGCTACAGAGGACTGTCACATTATACCTGTTTCATTGCTCGTCAGCCACATCCCTATGATATCATTGCTGTTAAACAGGAAGTGGATCAATCAAACCTGTGGTGAAACCTGGGAAAGAATGAGAAAAATGTCCAGAGCTTCCTGACAAAGCCAACAAGTGAAATGAATTATCCCAATCCCCCAGCCAAACAGAGGATAATGGCTTTTTCAACATTTTTGAAGAAAAAAGGAGAGCTATAGAAAAATAGTGGGAGATGAGAAAAACTGTTTATAGACTATGTACCAAAGCCATGTATGCAGCCCTGCTTGCTGAGGACAATGTAAGAGACCTTTGAAGATGTTTTGGCTTCATGTGATTTTTTTTTAACCTGAGCCTCAATTTAGAATCTAATCCATGGCTTTAAAACTTATCCCCAAATAAAAATGCATTCCACTGACTCACTTATTCTTTTTAATCGACAAAACAGGAAATTTTAGTAATGGCATATGACTTGAACACATCAAATACAAATTGTAACTCTACAATTTCCTGGGTATGTGACTTTGAACTAAAATCAGTATGAAGTTTAGTTAGTTCCTGAGCCTCTATTTCATCAATGGAGGTAATATTCCTATCCCACTGGTGTACCATGAGAATTAAAGAAATTAAATAAATGTTAAAGTTCTTGGCACACACTAGGAATATCTGTACATGTTACTTTATTTGTCTTTAACATGGTTTTTTGCTCTAGCTCCAGTCTTCATCTGGAACCATAGTTTTGTTTATGTACTTGTTGGTGCTTCCTCTGTTCATTTTTAGGTTTTATCCAAGGGCAAAATTGTACAATTTGGCACAAAGGAGAAAACTCCAGGTTCATCTTCGGAAAGTGTAAACATTCAAGTGACACAGAATATGGTTCCTTCAGCCCGACTCCTGGTCTATTACATCATCACAGGAGAGCAGACAACAGAATTAGTATCTGATTCAATTGTGTTCAATGTTGAAGAAAAATTCTGGAACCAGCTGCAGGTGAGGGACAAATTATACATTGTAACAATTTCCTCCTAAATGAAAGAAGCTGTCAGAGCATCTGCCTCTGGACAGTTTTGTCTCATACAAATGCTCTTTTCTTTTTCAAGTGACCTTTAAGGTTCACGTGTCCCCAGATGCAGATGCATACTATATTCTCCAGGTTCAACTGTGTGTGTCTCTCTGTTGTTTTGTTGCTATTGTTGTTTTATGGTGTTAGTGATCAAACCCAAGGACTTGTACATGTTAGGCAAGGGCTCTATCACTGAGCTACCCCCTCAGCCCAAACAATGTCTCATAATGTGGCTACAAGACTTGTGGGTGGCACTAAGCACAGCTGACAGAACAGCTAAGAACAAGAGTCCAAAAGCCCATGAGGAGAGTTAAATCTCGCAGGTAGCTACAGCGGGGTGGGATAGTTTGGTGCAGTGCTTCACAAAATGTGCCCACCAGGACAGTTTGTGAGCAAAGAACTAAGGGAATGTGTACTTATAATGAACTTAGCGTGATGGTTTTTAGCAAAGTAAGCCATCTTGTGTTAGTTCTGAAAACACGTTAATCTTTTTTGTTTTTCAGAATGTAACTTTAAGTGCTTTGAAAACATGTGACCATGGTAACACATTAAAGAAATAAATTTACCATCAGTTAGCAGAGTTTGAGGATTTGGGGCAGGGTGGTGGAGACAGTTATGGAAGCAGCACAAAAGACTGGATAGGAAATTTGGGGGATTGAACTCTCATTAAAATCTGTGGTCCAAAAAATTTGAAAAGTACTCAATTCCCTACGTCCTCACTTATTTTTGCTACATACAGTTATTATTTTCTAGACCTGACTTTCTTTGAATAAGGAAGAATTCATTGAGAAACTGTGAAGTTAAACCCATTTAAGTGGGTAAGGAGCGTTGTTGAGTGGTATAGCACGGCGTGAGGACCTAGGCTCGATGCCTAGCACCACCAAAAAGAAAAGGGAAAATAAAGTCAGAGAGGGAGGAAATTTAGGACAAAAATTAAACTTGAATCAGCCTGCTCTACAGGTACTCCCCAATTTAGAACCTACAACCCTTCTTTAAAAGCACAAGAGGTTGTTTTGTATTTTTCCCAGCAACTTAAAACTTAGTTATTTCCTTCATTTTATTCACTTTATTCATTCTTCCATTCATTTATTTTAGATGTTATCTTGATGTTATGTTATTTTAGATGTTATCATACAAAAATTATGGGTTTGTTTTCCCAAATCTCCTTATCAAAGCCATTTTCTTAAAATTCAGTTCTTGAAGATTGCTGGGTGTGGTGGTACATGCCTATAATTCCAGCACTTGGGAGGCTGAGGCAGAAGGATTGTTGGGAATTCGAGACCAGCCTGGGCTACAAAATGAGTTCAAGGCCAGCCTGAACTGCATAGCGAGACTCTGTCTCAAAAAGACAACAAAAAAAAAAAAAAAGAAATCTTGAAGATAATAAACTCAAGGCTTTTATAGGTAAATGGATGCAACTAGAGATCAGGCTCATAAGTAAAATAAACCAGATCTGGGTATGTAAACATCATATTGGCTCCCTAGTGTAAGAAACTGAAAGAGTAAATAAAACCCAAAGAAGGAGGGAAAAAAAAAAATATATATATATACACATACACACAAGATACCTAAGATGATTGTACTACTAGTTTCTACTGGTTTATTGAAAGGAACAGTTAATGCTTAATTTTTTTTTTTTTATCAATTTTGCCTGCCTATAGCTGGTAATCTGAACAACTACTTTGAAGATAACAATACACAATATAACAACCACTGCTGATTTTCTATCATCTTGCTTTGAAATTCTGTATAGTTTTAAATGTTTTAACAATTTTTTATTCTCTTCAAAATAAAAAATAAAAAATTCAGTTCTTGATTTAATTTTGACTAGGTAAGTATGTAAAAATACAGAGGGACAAACAGGAATAAAATTGAGAAATTTGGTCTTTGCTCAGCTGACAAATGCATGCACTATGTATTCCAGAGGTTTGTTAGAACTGTATAATGACTCGTACCTTTAGTTCTTTGGAGCAATGACTTACAGATCCAAATAAGTTCAACATTTTACCTTTCTGGACAGGTATTTCATACTGTGGAGAAGAGTGACCTGGGCTATGGGACAGGTGGTGGCCGTGACAACGCAGATGTATTCCATCGAGCTGGACTTACCCTTATCACCAATGCAAATGTAGATGAGTCCCAAGAACATGGTAAAACACTCTGCATTTTTATTAGTGAAATTCACACTGATAATTTACTTTCCAGATCCCATGTTTGTCCCTCTTACAGGAATTCTCTATACTGATCTTAGAATTCCTTTGTAACTCCCAGGCACACATTTCCTTCATCTGTAGGATAAAGTGAGCTCTTCAGTGTAGTGCCCACAGCCTTCCGTCATCCTCTTCCTGGCTTTTTCTAACCATTCTCATCCTGCTCTTCTCTCACTTGTGTTTAAGCTATACAGACCCATGTGTGGTTCGGGGATGGTCCCATGTTCTTTTATACCTTTGGGCCTGTACTCATGGAGACTGCGTCTCACTGTATTATCCTGGAAAAGCTAGGATACGAATCATCTCTTCTATTTGGGATCGTCCTCTTCTATGGGGAGAATACTGTAGGGAGTAGATCTATTTATATATGTAACCTTATATTACATATATGTAATATAATAACAGTTCATTTTTGTGCACCCTTACACTTAATTTTATATCTTGTTTTACTCTCAGCACTATGAACTCTTCAAAGGCAGAGAATTAATTTTTAGTCACCTTCTTTCTATGTTTTTAAAATTGTTCATAGTTATATTTGATGCTATGGTGTTAATGTTTATGTGCGCAATGCTACACCTCAAAGAGCAAATAAGAAAAATAGATTAACTGACAGAAATTTTGCTGTCTTTAAATACTCCCTCACTCTAAATCAAAGGATCAGAAAGATTACAGTGTTCAAAACCATATTCAGGTAAGATAAAACAAAACAAATTAAATTTGCCAGACAATGACCTCTACTATGATATAACAGGTCATATTAAGATGTGTAATGGATAATGTTTAATCTGAAGCAAGGTTTCAATGTGGGATTTATTGAATGAGTGACTTATGAATTTTTAAATAATTGTTTTCATGGTATTTTTTTTTTATTTCTCTCTCTCTCTGAACAGATGAACCTCGTAAAGAAAGTTTCAAGCAAAAAAGAAATCTAACAGAGAAAATAGAAGAACAAGGTACTCTAAATGTTTCAGGGAATTATTAAAAGCTTATCACATAACATTCAAAACCTGTAGAAAATTAAACATTATATAATATACCCTATTTCAAAAGGGATAGATGAAAATAAAGATACATATGGAGATCTAGCTCACCTCTCTCAAAAAGATTAAACCAAATAAACACAGCAATTGACTTGAATAGCCTTAATCTAAGGTAAATAGGACTTTATTATTTCTGTCTCTAAAATCCAAAATATTAACTTTTGTCACAAATATTTCTTCTGTACAAACCTCACTTAGCAATTAAAATTGTATTCTTCTATTTCATTTTGACAAGATCTTTGATATGATTACGTTGGGATATACCTAGAAATCTATATTCTATTTCATACATTTAACAGTTAATAGCATTTCAGAGTATCCTTTGGAAAATAAATCTAATGGAAATTATTTAAATCATTGATAAGTTACCATCTTATAGTAGAAAGATTTTTCTGGGAGTCAGTTGTCTGAGTTCAGCTAATAGTCATGTTTACAGTAATAAAATAATTTCTATTTACATAAGAAGTATTATAATTCTAACTTTTGTTGTCTAGTCTAATGATAAGAACAGAGAGAGACTGATTAAATTGAACACTTATGGTGATAGATGATACCACTAGTGAAGGTCTACAAACTGTGTCATGTGAGATATTTCTGAAAAAGTGGAATTTTAGCATAAAGAAGGAGATGCCTGTATCATTAGGACAGGCTTCCTCAAATCCTTGAAGGCTTCTTGGATATTTAACGTATTCCACTCAAAGCATTCTGAACTTTAAGTGCCAGTGTCCAAAGTTAGTATTTAGCTCAGATATAGGAAGCTGTTTACCATTTAGTGTGAAATGCAGTGGAGTACCTGGTGAGATCGCTTTCTCCCTATTGCTAGGGTAGTTCCAAGGAGAGGCTGATCCGTCAGTTAGTTATGGCTGTTATAGGTATGAACACCATTTGTCAGTAGAAACCAACTGTCCCTCGGGATTCCTTCTAAGCCTGAGATGTTATGATTCTATGCATAATCAAGGCACTGACTTTCGGGTTATTACCATTCAGTTGCTAAATACAAACATGCGGTGCTGAGGAAGTGCTGTTATGATGGAGCCCGTCGTAATGATGATGAAAGCTGTGAGCAGCGAGGTGCACGGATTACCATAGGTCCACGCTGTATCCGAGCTTTCAAAGAATGCTGTCTCCTCGCCAACGAGATCCGCGCTGAAGAAAGTCTTAAACACAAATATCTAGCAGGGAGACGTGAGTGCCACCTTTTCTATCAGAATGCTGCCCGCGATGCGGGGTAGGGGGTTGTGTGATTTTTGTGTTGCTAAGAAAGGCAGTTTTCCTGCTCTAGTCAAAATTGAAATTAGAAGGATAATTTGTAAATGCCCATAAGAAAAATCTGTTATTCTTGGTAATTTAAAAAGTATAAAATCAAGAAAAAATATACAAGTCTAGAGTAAATTCTTGCATAACCTAAAACCAAGTCATTCCATAAACTTGAGTGTTCATCTTCTCTGAACCTCAAGTACAGATGAGACATCTCCAGTGTGCCTTTAAATTCTAACATTCTAGGATTCTGTGATATTGCAACTATTGAAAATTCTGTTTATACCTACTCTAACCAAACACAGCAAAGACTAAATCTAACATAAGGTTAAGTACTTATTTTAACAACTGAAATCTTATTTCACTTTATGCCATGATACACATTCTCCAAATTTATAGAATGAGCATCAATACATTTTCAGAACTTTTAGGACTTTTTAATTTATACTATACTATCTTAGGGAAGAAACCCCAAGTAATCAGTGAGTTATAAATGATAGTTAAAAGACTAAATAATAGTTTAAAGGATATGCAGAGGTACCCACATTTTTGAGGTAACATTCTTTGGTTTGTTCATACAGGGATTTCAAAAGTTTGAGAAACACTACTCCAAATAGCTAATACAAATAAATCTTTCCTACCAAGTGAATGTGTATCAGCCTTAATGATTCCAATGTCAGATATAAACTGGGTGAGAATATCACGTAAAATTAGAAATAAGAAATATTTCATGAGTGACTTTTCTCTCCCAAAGCTGATACTGAGTACTACTCAAGGGTCAACTACTAAGGATCAACTGCTATGAGGAATATTTGTGGCACATTTTAGATTCTTGGCAACCTCTTCTCATCATCCTATAAGCTCCAAGACAGCCAAGGTGATTCTGTACAACATGGCTCTTCGGCTGTCCCAGTGAAATGTTAGTGTCGTCTTAACAGATCTTCATGAAAATTAAATAAAAGTATAAATATTGTTAATAATGCATCATTAAATAAATATTACTTATTAGTATTGGCCTTATTAGTATTGGATGAAGGTCCCTAAGGGACATAGCATTAGAATCACATAATGTTTTAAAGTTTTTAATGTGTTTTCTCATCTATCATTTCATCTGAATCTAATAAAACCACTGTAGTAAAGGAAAACAGTGCAAGAATTATTTTTTCCAAATTAAATAGGGAATTTTAAGTTTTAGAGAAAGTAAGTGATTTTCTGTGGTCATAGAAGGCACATCTAGGTCCATGTTAGAGTCATATCCCTCATTTTCTATTCTATGACTATTGTTATTTGTAGTATGATTTTTTAATGATTCTAATCAAAATTTAAATAAATAATGCTCACTGAAGAACTGATTATAAGTAAATACCAGAAAAAAATCACAAATTATATTCCACAGAAAAATATACATCCTTACCCAATTATGTGAATAATGATAACAAAGTTACTATACTGTAACAAGGTAGTGATCAATTTCCTTTAATACTTAATGCCATAATCAGGATAAATTTATAAGCCTGCATCTTTTACATAAGGTAATATTACAGAAAAAAGAGAACTTTCTTCTGAGGACTGAGTGATCTGGATTCTAGCACAAGTAATGACTTTGGGTAAGAGACTTGAACTCTCTGAGACTTGTAAAATGGAGATATTATAATAAAGTTTTATTATGATAGAAAATAACCCCTCCAAGCCTTCTTCACAACATGGTTAATGAACAAATAACTTTAAAGAAGAAATTCAATTTTGAAAACGTTGGGCTTTTAGTCTTTTTTCTTCAACAAATCTAAACTTCTTAAAAATTATTACTACTTAGGTTTTTTTTTTTTTTGTACCAGGAATCGAACTCAGGACCTTATGCTTGCTAGGCAGGCACTTGTGTCACTGAGCTATATCCCCAGCCAAACTACTTTGAATAACTTACTGATGAAATATTATTGCTTTTCAGATTGAAGACTCGCAAAGATTTCAGCTTCATCCTAACCACAATTGGAATAGTCTCACTTTCCTTCCACACAAGGCTTGATCTTTTGCAGATTACACCTATTTTCCATGCCTTCAATTTTGCTGGAAACTAAAATCAAACTTGGTTAAATATAGTGATAAAGTCTTTCTTTGCATAATTATAATTTACCAACCATCCTCAAAAATGAGAACAAAATGGTTAAACAATTTTACCAGAACAGCTCAACTACCAACTCTTTATTGCTATGCCCAGTAATCCTACACAGTTTACTATCAGGCTTCAAGGATTGGTAACTCAGAAGAAAAGAGTGTATCCGTGGTGACTCTCACTGACTACTATGAAAAATTCTACTGGACAACCATAGAAGAGCTGGAGTTCTCAACAGCACATACTGCCATCTACTACTGTCTTGGTCCAGAGATGTCCAAAATTATTACATTAAGTCATCACAAAAAGATTTACCATGCAAACAGGATAGGAGAGGCCTTACAGTGATATGAGTTTATGACTATAACTGTTTTAATCAGAATATTTAAACTAATAAAATACTTATCACTCATATTGATAAATTTTCATTGATAGAATGTTACCTTATTTATGATTTGATTGTCAATTTAACTTCTGGCCAATTTTCAATACTGTCCAAATACTTCTAAGCTTCTCCATTTTCTTTTTATTTTTTTGCTGAAATTATTTTCATCAAGATCAATTATTTTTATGTGAATTTTATAGTAAGACTTTTATTAATTAGAGTTTTTGTTTCCATTTCAGTTTTGTTTTATGGGAACTCCTTCAGTGGTCAGTTTTATTTTGATCTGTTGGCTGTCATATTTGACATGTCTAACTTGGAAGGGAAAGTATATGAATATTAAGATTTTCAAGTTTCGTAGAGAGTATCACACTGCTTAGTTAATGCAACATCCTGAGTTCAATCTCAACACTAAAAAACAAAACAAAATAAAGCAAAACAAAAAGTTTTTTCAAAATTTGATATGCACACAATTTTGTCTATAACAGCTTTTTTTGTTGTTTTTTTGGTTGTGGTTTTTGATTTTTGAGGCAGTCTCATGTGTAGTTCAGACTGGTCTTGAACTCACTATGTAGCCCAGGCTGCCCAATCCTCCTGCCTCAGCTTCCCAAGTACTGAGATTACAGGTGTACGCCACCATACTGGGCTTATAACAAATTTTCTAAATGTAACGACACATTTTCATTTTTATTACATTTTTTTTCTGATAATAGCATGCATTATGACTTGGAAACAAGATTGAGAATATTATTTCTTGTAGCTATAAGCAAAGAACATTAAGATAAATACATAGAATCATTGAGTTGGAATAACTTTGATATGGGAATGCTATAGCTACAACATTTTGCTTCAGGTTAGCAATTTTTGTCCAGTTAGGCAATGAGTCTTAGATAATGTTTGGGGAAACTTCCTGTCAAAAGTGGAATTAATACATAGTACACAGAAAATATCTGCACCCTTGGTCACTAGATAAAATATTACTCTGTACATAAGTGATGTCAGAACATAAGGATAGTTATCATATATGAAGGACTAGCCTATCAGTGGTTAAGGATCAAAATATCTGCTGCTTTTAAGGAATCTTTCAGTATTATGGGCAGCATTTGACGACCTCTCGAGCAAAGTAGGCTCTGAAATGCTCTCTAAATAGGTATCTACCAATCTGATTTTGTTGTATTAGTTGAGTTCACATAATTTTAATAGTTTGTTTACCTTTTCAATCTTCCCTATTGATTACAGCTGAGATTTACCACTTCAAGTTTAATGTATTCTTTCAAACTCTCAATGTACTAATTGGAAATAAAGGAGTAAATATTTTACACAATAGATTCCTTGACATACAGCACAACATTTAAATATATGCATCAGGGGCTATTTTGATCAGTCATCAGAGAATATTAAAAACCCTTACTGCTGTCCTGGACAATCCCTGGTGTAGTTCTGTCATTGACTACTAGTAGCAGCTGCCCTCAAGTCACCACCAAACTTGCCTCAGTCCTTGGCGGACACTAATATTTCCTATATACTAAGAAGCTCTAAGTATCCCCAAAGAATTCTCCCACTACCCCCTCCCGACCCCTCTGATTAATATGCCATTCCACAACTCCGTTCTTGGCTCCTGTTCTCTAGTCTAATTTCCTTCTAGGTTCTCTTTAATCTGACCTTGGACAATCTTACAAACACCCATGGCTTCCCATACCACTTTTGTACTGATAGTTATATCCTTAATCTGACCTTTTTCTGAGTTTTAGACTTTCCTCTTTCCAGTTGTCTACTTTATTAGCATCTATCCCATTGGCATCCTAAACTCAACATCTTAAACTCAGTGCAAACAAGTTATCATTTGCCTTTATTCTCTTTAAATCCCATTCTTCTTCTGGTGTTCCCTAACCAATAATCAGCACTCTGCAAACAGCCAGAAATCTGGGAGTCATTCTTGGAGCCTCTCTCTTCCTTTTCCCACACATAATCAATCACTAAGTCCTATTAATTCTAACTTTTAAATAGCTTTCAAACTGGTCTACTTCGGTACATCTCTGCTAGTGTGCATTCTAACTCAAACCCATATCAGGTGACAGCTTCTAGCTGATCTGTCTACAAGCTCTCTTGCCTTCCTCTTCCATCCATACATTTCAGTGAGACAGCCAGAGTGTTTTATTTAAAGGAAAAGCTAGCAGTTTGTACTGACTGAAGTACTTATTGAAACCTACAAGGTCTGCCATGATCTGGCCCTGCCTCTCTAGGTTCACCTCTGTTATTTATTCCTTCCAATTATAGCCTTCCAGCTACACTGGCCTCTGCCAGTGTACACCAATTCCTTCTGCCTCACATGCTTGGCCCTGTTTGTTTTAACCCTGTTAATTCATAGTCTTCCTTCACAGATCAGATTAATCTTTGCTTCCTCAGCAAAGCATCTCATCTATAGCATACTAACTGAAGCTCCCTGTTCTATTGTCTTCTTTAATTTATATTTTTCTTCAAATAATGACAGTGTGAAATTACAAAGGTATGATAAAGATATAAAGAATGTTTAAATTTTTAAAAAAATTACAATAATTTTTAAAAAATTACACATTGCCCTTAATCCCCTTCAAAATATGGCCCTTCACTTGGACCATATTTATTCCATCATTCTTGCCACTTTCTGAAGCAGTTCTAAAGTTCTCTTTCATAAGTGTCTTTAGTTGTGCTAAAGGTGTCATGGCTGCCTTGATGTCCTGAATTGTTTTAAACCACTTGTTTTTCATGGTAATTTTGAGTTTGGAAAGAGCTAGAAGTTGCACAGTGTCAGATCATCTGGTGAATAAGGCCAATGAGTGCATACTGTGATGTTTTTATTTGACAGAAATTTCTATAAATGTTTTGAATTGGTTCAGGACCTCAAAGCAGCCATGAAAGACACTCATAAAAGAGGACTTCTGCAACTACTTCATAAAGTGGCATGATTAATGGTGTGTATGTGTGTGTGTGTGTGTGTGTGTGAGAGAGAGAGAGAGAGAAAGAGAGAGAGAGACAGAGAGACAGAGAGACAGAGAGAGAGAGAGAGAAATGTTTCCAGGGGGGATAAAAGATGATGTGTTTTTATTGTAATCAATTTTTAAAATTTGTATTTACACATTCATTATATACTTTGATCACACTGTTACCAGGTTGAGGATCTTGTCCAGGTTCTTGATGTCCTAATTAAAGGATTAAGCAAGACACCTGAGAGTTGCTGTAAGATCACTGATTTATTTGAGAGCTTTTTTGGAGGTCCTGGCAGGGGAGCACAGCTACATGTATACCTTTGACTGAGGAAACGGTCCTCCTCCATCAGGGGTGGTCGTCCTCTTCCACTGAGCATGCAGCTTGCGGAGGGACGCACATGAAGCAGTGAGAGAGGGAGTGAATACCCACCTAGCCTCAATGATTTATTTGAAAGATAGAAGACGAGATGTACTCCACAGAATGGGAGCCAGCCAGCAAGGCAACAATGGGCTTGATGTTGAGGAGTTTAAAACTTAGGGTTTGGGGTAAATTGGGGGCTTGGGCTGAGGTATGACTTCTGCCAATGAGTTGCTTGACTCAGCCCCTTCATCAGATGGTAGAGTTTTGACCTTTTATGGCCGGTAGAGGAACTGTCATGGCATCCAAAGCCCACAGGGAGGTCAAATCTGCATAGTCAATGACACGGTACTTAGATTTGTGGTCAGCCACGGATTGCAGAAGACCAGTGGGTATATGCCTAGGGACTTCTTGTGTATAAACTAAGTTACCTGCGTTTTCCATCATGTGTAGGTCAGGGCATCCTGGTCCTGGGTTGATATCAAACTCAGAAGGTAGATCTAGTCCCAGAAAGTGGGACCCAAGGTGAACCTTCTCACCGTTACCTCTCCTTTATTTTAGTAGTTTTGTTGTTTGCTGTACACCTCAGATCTAGCCCAGAAAGCAAGCTGTAAGGCAGGGGGACCCTTCCTTTTTAAAAGCCATTATTTTTCTCACTCCTTGTCTCAACACCTTCAGTACATTTATGCGATTTTGCTTCATATCTGTCTCCTTTCTGACCTGTGAGTTTTATGAGTTTCCATTTTGTTTACCACTCTCACCCCCAAATTGGCACAGGGCCCAGTACCTAGAAAGAACTCAGTAAATATTTGTGAAAGGAATGGAATTACCTACCACTTATCCTACCTTACCCATTAAGACACTGATCTAACCTCTTAAAATGGTCCTAAATTCATCCCAACCTATCTTATAGTTATTGCTCTAGACCCAACTATTATCATCTCTTCCTCAGACTGTTATGATATTTTCCTAAATGGTTTCCTTTCCTTCAGTACAGAATTTGAAAATGTGAACTTTCTGGCCTAAATTACCCAAGTACTGGTAATAGGATGGAGTTTGACCAGAAAGTTTTGTTGTTTTTATTGTTTGTTTGTTTTTGGGTCCAAATCTTTGTCGCTGTGTTTGATGGCAGTATTAGTTCATGCATGAAAAAACAAGGAACCCAGATTTGTTCTCCTGGGGCCAAAATTTGAGACCTGCATGAGAAGGGCTGATCCATTGTAAATTATACCTGTGAAATAAAGCTTTGTTTTATTTTCTTTCCTTTGGTTGCTGTAATGGTTGATACACTGTGTCAACCTGGAAAGTTTAGAAGTTTAACTAAGCAGGGAGTCAGGGTCCTCACTTTGTAAACATCCTCATCCTGTGCAAGAGGAAGGCATGGAGATTGCATGAGTGCCATGGGGCATTAATACTACCCCTTAGTTACTGCAGGCTGATCAGGTCCACAATCTTCTGAATGAATGTAGGGCAAAGGCTAAATAAAAAGAGGCAAATGGAATGATTTCAGGACTCCAGGAGGATCAAAGGCCTTTCACATAGTTCTTAATTCTCTCAGGGCTAAGACCAAGACCTTCTCTGGACCACCCATATTTATTTGGTTATCAGAGGGAGGGGAGTACTAAAGAAGGGCAGAACCACTCAAGGACTTCTCGAAGTAAGGTATTAAGTTAATCCACTAAAGAATGGGATGCTTGAGGCTATAGTCTTTATCTAGTTGAGATCTGATCCCGGTGTCCTTGGCTGTGATCTTGTCTTATCCTTTGAGGCTGTCTGGCTTCATCCACCACTACAGATTTTAGTAGGGATTAGTGACTCACAGAGGTTCACTTACTACAAGTCCACCATTTCCAGATAAGCAGCCTAGGCCTTGGACAGCTTCACATATGAACATGAAAAGCCAATTGATTAATTTAAGTCCTGTTCAAATCTGCTTCATAGTGGTCTCCATTAGTGCCACACACCCCATTTTTGCTCTTGCTGTCTTCTGTCTCTTGCTGTTTGCTTTGCTGTCTTGAAATGTTGCCCTTGTGCCATGCCACCCAGGAGCCAGCTAATTACTGACTGAAACCTCTGCAAACTGTGAGCTAAATAAACCTTTCTTTTCTTAATTCTGGGCATAAGGTATTTTGTCTCAGCCACTAAAGAAAACTAACCAAAATGGATGCTTTCAGTTACTGAGACAATTAGCCAAAAATTAAAGCACAGCCACAATCATCCCCAGTAGAGACTGGAATTTTTCTGTCAGAGTAGGTCTGAACATTTTCTGGACCATATTGTTACCAGATTTATCTGTTATACCAACTGACCTACAGATCATTTCATATCATCTTTTTCAGTGCATTCTAGATTAGTAATTTTCCTACCCACAGTGTCTGCAATATCCTATTTGATTTGGTTCAGAACCCAAACAACAGTTTAAATATTAGCCTACTGGCCCAGCTCAAAAGATATGCACAAATTTCCACAATATGACTTGCATCATAATTTTCATTCACTATTCATACAGTTCCATGAATCTAGCTTTGTAGTTATGAGACTCCTTTTTCAAACAGCATTGAAATTGAATGTGGTCATGGTGGATAATTTTTGAAAATTGCTGCTATGAATGAATATTTGACATCCCAGGTTTTATCAATTTCTATTTGCATTTTATTTTGGAGAACGATATGATTAATACTCTCCACAGTATGTACTAGCTTTCCATTCTTTTGATGAACAAAGAACACCAGTAGGTCTTAAAGAGATGGAAGCATCTTCAGGATCTGAACAGGAGGGTCAAAATGCACTTCTCAGTTTCCCATTGCGTACAGAATAAAGTCCAGATTCCTTAGCATGGAGTTCAATGCCATACAAAATCTCCCCTCAACCTATCTTTCAACATCATCTCCTTTGGCAATTAGTTGAGGAAATAAGTATCTTTTAGCACTGTGACAGGTTCTAGGGTACAACCCTGTTGTAAATGTTAGACCTTGTACTTGTTGTCATGGAGCTTATAGCTTAGATAAAGCAAAAGGTAAAGGAGCAATGACAAAAGCCATCACTCCAGCCACCAGCTGTAGAGACTCATTGTTCAGTATGGGTCCATGCATGTAGTTGAGCACATCCTGGAGGAACCTAAGACAACAAGTTTCATTGCTTCCTTGTCTATGTCCTGGCCATTCAGGACTCACTTCTAGGTCTAGGAGCACCTCAGCATTTGGGAAATTGTCTTGGGATTTAAAATCTATTCTAAAGAAGATCTACAGGACTCATAGTCCCAGATTCAAATAAGATTCATTCCAGAGAAACCTCAGAATCATCTCTAGACCTACGTAAGAATTCCACATGGAGTCCAGGATGATGGTCCTCTCTAGTGTTCCTTAAGTTTCAAAAGTTTCCCTAGCACAACCTTAAAGAGAAAGACTTTCTCAGGAAAGTGGTTTATTAAGAAACTGCTGTTGGGGGTTGGGGATTTAGCTCAGTGGCAAAAGCGCCTGCCTGGCAAGCACAAGGTCGTGAGCTCGGTTCCTGGTACCGGAGAAAAAACAAAACAAAACAAAAAAACAAAAAAAACAAAAACAAAAAAAAAGAGCACAAGAAACTGCTCTTAAGAGAAATTAATAAACAATGACAAATGCACAAATATGTCACAAAGCTAAGCAACAGACCTAGTAAAGAATATCTGGTCATAGGATCAACTGCATCTACTACACCTAAAAATGCCCAAGACCAGATAAACCTTCAAATATTTTGTGTCTGTGTCCAGCATTTCCCTATGGACTCACATTGGGGTGTCTTTTCCATTTTAAATATCAAAATCAAGTTCCTCTGCTTTGAATCCCAGAATACCTGTGGACATTAAAAAACATTATTGAAATTCCAAGGTTTTCCTTTCAGGGATCCTACTATTTGACATTAATAATTAACCCGAGAACTAATTTAAACAAATTCCTCAAGCTGAGTTCACAAAAATCAGGGCAACTGCAACAAAGGTTGTACCAGTGATCTTATGCTACTCCCACCATGGGCATTTTCACCATAGTTTGTCTTTGTTTCTACTTGGGAGGAAGTTGGGGACAGCAGCAAGTGTAAGTGAAAGATGCCATTTTCATTTGAAATGTATTTGAGTTGTAATTTTATAGAAACCAGAATTCAATCAATGTCTGATGAAATTACCTTTCAGTTTCTGAGGCATCCAAGTGAATTTCTGCTTTCCTCTGGCATCCACCGAGGCTCTATGTGTTTTAATACAAACATTTGGTGAGCTTCGTGTGACTTGCATCCTAATACTGTGTATTCAGTGCTCTCACTTTTGCCCCAGGGAAGAGCAACTTCTTGATTGGTATTTTGTTTGAAAGCGGGTTATTATAAAAACAGAAGTATGATCTGTATTTGCACTTCATATAGAGACCTCTAGGAAACATTTCCTGGATACAGTTGATTAAGATCGCTTCTATCTGCCTTCTTGAAATCTCATCTTACAATGTTTTCTATAAAGTATCCTGTCTTTTTCAGGCTAGTAAAATTTTGAGAAATAAAAAATATGTTGCTAAATTTAAGAAATGTTAATAATTTATATTGGTTCATTGAAATGAAAATATTAAAACTTTTATTAACAGATTGACTGTATCATTTTACTGCTTCAACAGATATGTCATCTCAGCACCTAAAGTATTCTATCTTGGAACCTCTGAAAATGTAGTAATTCAGGCTTATGGATATATAGAATCCTTCTCTGTGATCCTTGCTGTTAAAAGTTATCCCGACAAAAGTTTTACATATTCTTTTGACCGAGTTGATTTGTCTCCAGAAAATAAATTTCAAAACTCTGCAAACTTAATTGTAGGTATTCTTCTTATATTTTGTTTTATATGGAAGATGTTTCACTGTAAAATTAAAAATAGATGGTCCACTGATCCATTTTATATGTGTGAAGAAAAATGTGCTAATCATACTCTTAAGTGAGGTGACTAGATGATGTGAAATGTCATTACATTCATATTTATAGTAATTTGTAAATGGAGAATCTGTTTTTGATTTGGGGGCAACTAAGGATCTCTAAAAGTTTGAGTAAAGTAAGTTATGGCTATTAAGATGAAAATCCTTGGTGATACCAGTTGAAAAGTAAATCAAGCAACATATGTAATTGGGTTAAAATTGTATGATGAATACTAGGAAGACATAATTTACACAAGTTAAACTTTATATAATATTGATTGAACATATATGCACACATATACATACAAAAACATACATGTAACATGCAGTTTGGTTCTGTTCTAAAAATTTTAGGAAAATGAATGGAGACATTTGGAACAACTGTTTACCTAAACTGTATACTATAACATTTTACTGTTTAAAAAATAATTTTTTTCTAAAATATGTATGCATCATAGACTTCTTATACTTGCCCTTTGTACTTGGACCAAACAAGTTTTCTTTCAAATTTATGAACAATGGTTAAGGAAAATTAGAGAAATGTTTATTATTAAGAAACTCTATTGACTTAATGCAATATATCTGAATAAAGTCACATACTAATTATACTATTACCAACAGACATGAAAAACATTAGTAAAAGATTTAGACTTTCAGCACAAATCAAATGTAATTACAAATATGAAGAATATTTTATTCATTCATACCATCAAGTGACAAGCCACTTAGTCTACTGTTTATGTGACATAAATCTGCGACCTCTGTTCTCTTATGCCTGTATTACAGACGAGCTTTTGAATTTCTGATCTTCTCTTAATGCCTTTTGTTATTTTGTCTGATAAAAATTTATTTTTTCAGTGATTATCATTTTTAATAGACATTGAATTGGCTCAATTTCAAAAGTCCATATTTCAAATTAAATTTTATAAAGAATTAAAATACAGAAGTATTATTGGAAAAAATTAATTTATTGTATTAATTTTTCAGAATATTTTTTATTAGATGTAAATAATCAAATTATTAACATAGATATCTACAAAATAATTCATTTTTAAGATTATTGTATAATATTCCCCTATTAACTTTTTTAACAGATACAACCAAAAGATTTATCTGGAGGGCTAAATGCAGTTTCACATGTATATTTAGAAGTTGTATCAATCCATTTTTCAAAAGAAAGAAAAATCCCACTACGCTATGACAATGGATTTCTTTTTATTCAGACAGACAGACCTGTTTATAATTTGGACCAACCAGGTATAATAACAACAGAATTTTATTCCATTGGGGAAAAGTGGGATGATCTCGTGTATATTTTGGGGGTACATAGCTTGTCTTTTAGGAAAAAATGAAAATAAAATCTTACTTTATATCATAGAAATAAAGAGCTGATAAACTGAAGATTAAATTTTAAATTATAGAAACAAAGAATAAGACTGTGATAACTGTATTGCTGATGTCTGATGGCATATTGAAAGGAATAGTTAATGTTTAAAATTTTTTATGTTCTGATAAATTTTGCATGCTTGTGTCTGGTAATCCGGGCAGCTGATTTGAAGGTAATAATAGGCAATGGAATTACCATGGTGAATTCCTACCATTTTGTCTAGTGAAACTCTGTATTATCTCTAATGTTTTATCTAATAATTATTTTCTTATTCTCTTTAATGGTTTGAACAATCTTCCATTCTTACATCTGGCAATCTGAGCAAAGTAGTTGAGGATAGCGATATGTAATATAACAACCACTGTTAATTCATATTATTTTGTCTTGAAACCCTGTATCACTTTAAATGTTCTTGCTTTGGTTTGTTTATGTTTGTGATACGGGTATGCTGCTATTGTTCTATGTTTTGTTTGTTTGTGTCTCATTTATTACTTTTTTTTCTTTTTTTTTTTTTTTTGGTACCGGGAATCGAACTCACGCCCTCTGCGCTTGCCAGGTAGGCGCTGTGCCGCTGAGCTATATCCCCGACCCCTACTCTCTTTAAAATAAAAAAAAGTAAAAAAAGAAAAAATACAAAGAATAAGAAAACATGAGACTTTTTAAGGTGGAATTAGAAAATATTTTTTCTAGAATGATACCCAAGACTTCCTTCAAATTCAGTATTTTTAACCAAGAAAACCATGGAGAAAGCTTGATGGAGAGCAGGCGACGTGCAGAATGTGATGATGCACTGTAGAAGTCACACTTGATAAAGAGTCTGAATTTTAACCTTAAAAAATCCCATTTTTTGGTCCTGAGTATCAAGTCTTCTTACAAATATTTCACTTTTATATTAACATTGACCATTGTGAAATAAATTGCCAAGTTTCCCTAGCAGTATCTGTCACCTTATGTTTTCTTTGGAGGTTTCAGTCTTCTTTCAGTAAATCCCTCCGTACAAATTATCTCAGGCAGGGAAGGAAGCTCCAGTGAACTGGGATATAGATATACTGAGTGCAAGAGCATTTGATGAATGAGCATTGACTCTGATGGTGAAGGATGGTGATGCTAATCAGGTGGGATAAGCTGTAGAGCCCCTCAACAATGTCATCAGTAGGACAGAGTCCCTGCCAGCACACCTGGCCTTGGCTAGGATTAGAGCTGTCTCTTGGCATCTGAGCAGAGGAAGACTGTGTATCTTAGAAGAGGTCAGGCCTGTGAAGCTTTCATCCTTCCAAAGGCTCAGATACTTCCTGGTACCTTTAGATACTCAGATTCTTGCTTGGGTCTTCCTTGTGAGGTAGGGAATGCTTCATTGATTGGATTATATCCATACAACTTACTTTCAATTCTTCCCCGCTATTTTATGATTATTTCAGATCCTAGTGAGGTGAAGTCTCTCTTAACTCATAGTAGGCTAAAAATACAACAGGTCGGGGCTGGGGATTTAGCTCAGTGGCAAAGCGCATGCCTGGCAAGTACAAGGTCGTGAGTTCGGTTCCTGGTACTGGAGAAAAAATACAACAGGTCGAGTAAAAGTAGTTCTTACTATGTTGATTCATGCATTTTAAATGCATAAAGAGAAATATTTAAAAGAAGCTATACATGAATTTTCTTTAGAAAATGATTTTCCCCAACTTTAATAAAAGTTAAATCCCATCATCACAATATAAGCTTTTAAGCTTAGATTTTATATTTTGAGATTTCTTATTTTTATTTTCAATTTCACGGACCTTGTGTTAAAGAGTTACTAATAGTGCTGTCAGATCATTTAGAGTTGAATGGAATTTCTAACAGTGGCAATTTTTCTTATAGTGAAAGTTAGAGTTTATTCATTGGATAAAGACTTAAAACCATCTCCAAGAGAAGTTATTTTGACATTTATAGTGAGTATACCATTATTGTAAATCTAAATTTAATCCTGGTATTTTCACTGTTTACATCAAGAGTTTTCATTATCATATCTGACATCAAGTTATTCAATATTAAATTGTAGGAAGCATTTATTCAGCATCTACTGTGAGAAGGACCTGATAATTTTATACTTCTCTGATCTTAGTTAATAATTTTGTGCATAAATTAAATGTTGAAACATTTAATGAATCTATTAAGGAACACCTTTCGATGGCCTATCTCTAAGTGGACCAGCTGATGAGTTTGAATCCTTTTGTTTTCTATGAGCACGGGCAGATGTGTCAAGGGTGGTGGAAACATAAAATAAGGCACTCATGAGCATGCAAAGCATGCATTATGTTGTCCTAACAACCATAAAGAATCAATGTCATGTCCACATTTTATAGAACAGAAGCCTAAGAGTCAGAGGAATTAAACACCAACTGACATCCTACTGATAATAATTAGCAGAATCAGGATTTAAACCCAAGCCTATCTCCAGAGCCTCTGTACTTAGCTTCTTTCCTTTGATGAGGATTACGGTGTCCCTCTATAAGCATTTGAATTTGGAAGACCAGACCAGCATACATAATATACAGCAAGCTGAGTACAGAGTGAGGTAAAACCTGCTCTAGCAAGCCAGGTTGGAGGGAAGGCAATGCTGATAATGAAGTGCTCCCCTCTCTGGAGAGAATTGCTACAGAATAAGGGTGTATTCTTCACTGGGACTTAAAGGAAACTATGGAGAGGGTTTGATAGAGAGAAGCTGGTGAGCAGAAGAGAAGCGGTCAGAGCTGAACTTGGTGTCGAATTCCTGTAATCCCAGCCCTGAGTGAGGCTAAACAGGAGGATTGCAAGTTCAAGTCTCATCTGAACAACTTAGTGAGACCCTGCCTCAAAGCAAAAACAGCTAGAGATGTATCTCAGTGATAGAATGCCCCTAGGTTGATCTCCAGTGTCACACACACACACACACACACACACACACACACACACACACACATCCCACATGTAGCAGTTTGGAGCCAGAAGAAGCAGGATAGCAAGTTGTACAGTTGACAGTAACAGTGGTGTAGCTTTAGCTAAGCAGCCTAGAAGTACTTCAGGGATAGACAGTGGCAGATTTGATGAACTATGATGATCTATGTTCAGGGAGTCACGATGGGACAGGCAGGACCTGGTAAACTTGTCAGAAGGGTGCATGTCTGGCCTCACAGATTCTGCTATTTCCTTGTTAGACTTCCTCATGGAGGACAGACATGGAACACACGAGAGACGATTGCTCTGGCAGGTCCACAAGTGTTCAGGTTTGATATGAAAGACATCAGGGAGGCAAGGAAGCCTTTGGCCATGCAGTGAAATTATGAAAATGGTGTTGGGGACTAGAAGTCCTGTTCAAGAAGGAGGGTTATGGGGAAGAGACCTGCTAGGAGTTTAACATTTTCTTAAATATTTACAGTTCTATTTATGCCTGTTTAAAATACGCCTTTGTACTGTTGATAGTAGTCTTTGCTAACAAGCCTGACCAGCATGAGTCATTGCCTGAACACTAGACCAATATTGCATGTGCTAACACTTCTTAGAACATGTTAGTATATATATCCCTCTAAGAACTATTGAGCACATATTATGTTTATGTGTAGCTTCTATATTTCTAAGTTGTTAAGAAAAGATTAAACCTAATTTTTGTTTTTCTTTTCACTCAAAGGACCCAGAAGGGTTAGAAGTTGCCACAGTGGAAGAAAAAAATCACACTGGAATTATCACTTTTCCTGACTTCAAGATCCAATCTAACCCTAAGTATTTCTAGTTGTTTGTTGGTTAAATTGCTCTTAAAACAATGGAGACACCTGGGGGCTACTGAATAGTCAAATGTAAATGTACATGTAACAGAAATGTACCGATAAAAGAAAGTTTAATTTTAGCTACTCTTATTAGGTCTAGCAAGTGTCCTAACCTAAGGGAAGGTGGAATCTGCTTGAGTTCTTCTGCATCAAGGCAGAGACTTGATATAATATTTCCTACCAGCACCCAGGTAGTCTGCTGTACCCAGCTTAGGTCTTCCACAGAAAGTCTGGGTCGTAGGCATTATGGGGATACAGACCCTGCCTGTAAAATGGGGAGAGCACAATAGAAAAACAAAACAGAAAAAAAGGAGAAAGGAGAAAAGATGTCCATTAGTACACATTTCATATTTCTTAGAGGCTTTGGAGCTTTCTTTGTCATTTTAACTAATACTTGTAGAACTTAGATGATATTTTGAAATATGATTTCAGACTCTTATGGTACATACTGCCTTACAAGTATAACACTTCAGTACTTTAAGGAAACTGGCATTTATGGGTCTCCTACTATGCGCTAAGCACTCTGCTGGTCTATCATTCTCATTTTTGAGATAAGCAAACTCAAAGTCATGCAAGCATTAAGTGGGAGTAGGTGGAAATGATAGCCCTAAACTCTTGGAGGGCAAAGCACATCTTTGCTCCTGGCTCCTACCACTACCCGCTAAAAATAATGACATACTGGCCTTGGGCTGTAAAAGCTCTACAACTATGTGCTTGTATCATTTAAACAAGTTTAACCTGATCAACGTTCTTGAAAATGTGGTCCTGATTTTCTGGAAAATTATATAATACATTCTAACTCTTAATGTGATTTTTTTATTTGTTTGTTTTTGTTTTTGTAGTTTTTTTCTGGTACCAGGAAGTGAACTCATGACCTTGCACTTGCCAAGCAGGCGCTTTGCTGCTGAGCTAAATCCCCAACCCCTCTTAATGTGATTAAGCTCATGTTTAGTTCATCAACTGAATAATCAATATTTAAATATTGAAAAATTTAAAGCATTTTACAGTTAAATATATACAGCACTATGATCTCCTAGAGAAAGAATCAGTAAAATGAAAATAATTCAGGTATTTACAATGATTTTTCCTAAAATGCATATATTCATTTATAATTTTAATATACCTTTCCAACACGATTATATTATTTAGAATGTGCAGATAATTGAAGCTACAGTCAGGGTCATCTAACCATGGAGTGTTGTCAAAGGTTTTAGAGCGAGAGTGACCAAACTTAAATCCCAGCTGCACCACCTACCAGCTGTTTATCCTTGGGCAAATTACTTTATCTGTACCTCAATTTCTTAATGATAATATATGGATAATAATAGAACCTAGCCCATGTATTTTTACAGGGATTGAATGAGCTCACGTATGTAAAGCATTTAGTCTTTGGTGCATACTATACAACTACCATCATTAGGTAAATTAAAGATATATTATTTGATGACATGTAAATTTTAAATGTGTTGTTTTTACAGATATGGCTCATGGACAATTAAAGCTAAATATAAGGAGGACTTTACAACAACGGGAACTGCATCTTTTGAAATTAAAAGCTCTGGTAATTTCTGACGAATGATTGAAATTTCCCATGTATGTTTTTAAAAACAGTTCTGAATGACTTTATAGAGTAAAAATTCAGTAAAAATAAAGGGGCAGCAAGCTGTGGTAGACAAAGGTAGACTGGGCGTAAGAAAACTGCAGCCCTAGTTCTGTCCATCTAGTTCACCTCCATCCAGTCACTGAACTCGGTGCCTTGCTTTTTTCCTCATGGTTGTAGAGGTGGTCACATCAGCAACAGGGTAAGGTTAAGTAATATCCTTCTATGTATGACCTATGGTTCTCTGACACTGTTAGAGATGGTCCAATCTGTTGTCCTTATTCAAGTTCTCACACTCACTTTGCCTACACCAAGCATCAGAATGCTACCTTGTGATAGTTAGCTTCCCATCTCTGTGATGAAATACCTGAGAACAACAATTTTTAAAAGGAAAGGTTTGTTCTGGCTCACAGTTTTAGGGGTTTCAGTCTAGGGTCCGTTAGCTTCATGGCTTTGAGGTTTGTGGTGAGTCGGAAAAGTCATTGCAGAAGGGCATGGTGGACAAAAGCTGTTCAGAAAGAACACCAGAGTGTGTTAGTGGCTTCCTGTTACACTTCCATGTCATCCAGATTCCCACCCACCCTATTAGATGGAGTGACCACATTCATGCAAGTGTCCCGTCTCGGTTTGCAGTCCCGTACGGCATTGCCTCTGGAAACACCCTCACAGACACACCCACAAGTGTGGTTTACTCATTTCCTAGGTGTTTCTCAATCCAGTCCTGTGGCCCATCAAGATTAACCATCACCTTACCTTTGAACCCCAGACTCAGGACTGTTTCCTATCAGCCCTAAAATCAATGCTTTATTGACAAATGACTATGTTTGGGAAAACCCTTTTATTGGAAATGCTTGTGTTAATTGTGCTAATCATTAACTTGTAAATGCTCCCATTCATTTCTCATAAGAACTTTCTAGAAAATCAATCTGCATGTAAAGCTGTTTTTAAATGGTGGACACACTCACTGAATCAAGCTTATGCTTTGCATTACCATTGGCTGTGGTCACATTTCAGGCACCCGATTTTGTCATTTTCAGGTACCCGATTTTGCAAGGTGGTAAAGACAGAATTTGTTATTCCCTCCCCACAAGTTCTTCTCTAATATAGATTATACCTTTTGTTCTCCTTTTCAAAAAAAAAAGCTGATCAACAGAGTTACACAAGTCAATTTTAATACTTTAACGGGTATTAAAATCCTGTCATATAAAAATCTGAAGTATTGAAATTGACTGTAATTTATCTCTTCTTACCTGTCTTTGGCTTTACTTCATGCATCATTTCTTTTCCACTATCATCAAAATCATTTCTCATTCCCCCCAAAAAGACAGAAACTTCAGCCCCAGTTACATTTTTATTATGAAAGTATCTGTCAGAATATAACTAATCCATTGTGATAAAACAATTAGAGTAATAAGATACAGATGAAATATAATAACTTTGAGAAATTTGCCTTTTACTCTTGAAACATGACATATTCAGTTTTGCATTTCATTTTTATGAGCTGTCGTGGCAAGGCTAAGGCAAGTAACTTTATTGCTGTTGACGATGGAGAAAGTTGAGTCCCAGAGGGGAGAAAAGAAGTTGTCTCACTTTTCAGAGTTTTTACATTCATCATGAGTTAGTCATGACCGGAGCATAATGGGTAACTTTGTAAAAGCCCACCCAAGGCCGTGACTGAAACATGGTGTGGAAAGGACAGGGACCCACTCCTTCTTGCCACTCTTGGCAAATGAGACAACGTGTCTACCCCACATGTATTGGAGGCATGTTATTTTCATATCAATTCCATATTTGCCTTTTGAGATGAAGAATATGAACTTTCCCTTTGTAAACATAATGCAGGCAAGCCAGTGTTCCCATTCAAAAGCAATTGTACACAGTTCATCAGCAAAGTGGGGTTTGGGGGCCAGTATAATCCAATTCATAGAAGCTTTTGACAATCTATATAAACTAGGCCACAAATAAGAAAGATGTGACCTGTTTCACATACTTTTGACAGTTGAGCAATGTAGTTGCCTGAATGCCCACTGTTATTCAATCTTTAGAATTATTTGCATGTGAGATTTTATGTCAACAGCAAGGTTAGAATCAGCAGATACCTTCCAGGCAAATCTGCTGGAATCCTCTTCTTACAACTGTGGCATTAATCACAGGAATTTTTTTTTAACACTGACCCACAGTCTCAGTCAAACACTACCGACTAGTTACATTTGATTCTTGAAACGAAGACTGTTTGCCATTCTGGACCCACATAAACCTGAACATTAGGAAGTTTCTTACCTAACTCTTACAGTAATCTTGAAATTCTCAACGTTTTTATGCTAATGAAGTAATTTTCTGGTTCTACTAAGGTATATGAGTGTGGGTTTATCAAATGTACACCTAAGCAAAAAACAAATATACAAAAATAATACAGTGGAAACTAGAAATATATTTCTAGAAGGAAAAAATGTATTGTTATAGTGGGGTGGATGAACCTCACTAATATCAGTATCCCTCCCTCCATTGTTACCATCAATACCCCTAGGAATCCTTGTGAATGTCCAGTGATTGATCTCATCTCTTCTTCTGAAACCCTAGCCTGTATTAAATGACTTGTGTTACTCTCAGAGTGTGAGTTCTATAAGGACAAAGTCCTCATCATATGTATCTGTGTAAACCTTTTCCTTGATCCCTTATGTATAGTAAGACTGTGATAAATGGTTATTCAACTGGAAATTTCTTGCTTCTTTAGCATCTCTCATGTGTTCTCTTGTGTTTGGCAATTCTCTTCCATTCAGTGTCACAGATGCGAACACAAATTTCAAAACCCCTTTTAGGAAAGGTACATTCTTGTTAATAGCTATAGAAAACAGCATTCATACAAAAATGAGAATTGAAGCAGCGAAAAGCTTTAGACATTCCATCTCCTTGAAACTATGATCACAAGCAATACCTTTCTGACCATATGGTTCTGTTCTTTTCCTTATGTTCAACCAAAAGGTGATGCTAGGCTTCCCAATCCTATTTACTGTGCACTGTTCTGCAGATTGCACAACCTAATGGAGAAGGCTACACTTGAAGAAAAAAGAGAGACTTGGCTAGAGGGTAACCAGGGCAGGTTCTGGGGAGCTGGATATGGAAGAGCAAAGCAAGTGACTCACTGTTCTGGCTGCTTCCCTTTATGTAGGAGAAAACTGTCCTCTAGTGTGTACCATAAAAGCAGAGTAGAGACTTTGCACTATGAACAGTGTCCAAGACAGCTAATAAGAAACTCCAAAGGTGAGTTCCATTGATTCGGAGGGTATTTCATTGGTGTAGGCTTAACATGTCAAATATTTTTAAAATTTCCCATGTGTTTGCTTTTATCTCCTAATTATAAGTATCTCTTTTCTTCTTCATCTAACTGGTAGGCAGAAAACATGGTGTCCATAGTTTAATAACAGCTTTACATACAAATTGATTTTCTGGCAAGTTCTTATGAAGGATGGATGGGAGCGTTTACAAGTTAATGATTAGCACAATTAACATAAGCATTTCCAAAATAAGTGTTTGCCCATACATAGTCATTTGTCAATAAAGCATTGATTTTAGGGCTGATGGGAAACAGTCCTGACTTTGGGGTTCAAAGGTAAGGTGATGGTTAATCTTGATGGGCCACAGGACTGGATTGAGAAACACCTAGGAAATGAGTAAACCACACTTGTGGGTGTGTCTGTGAGGGTGTTTCCAGAGGCAATGCCATACAGGACTGCAAACGGAGAAGGGACACTTGCCATGAATGTGGCGGCACCATCTAATAGGGTGGGTGGGAGTCTGGATGACATGGAAGTGTAACAGGAAGCCACTAACACACTCTGGTGTTCTCTCTGAACAGCTTTTGTCCACCATGCCCTTCTGCAGTGACTTTTCCGACTCACCACAAACCTCAAAGCCATGAAGCTAACGGACCCTAGACTAAAACCTCTAAAACTGTGAGCAGAACAAACCTTTCCTTTTAAAAATTGTTGTTCTCAGGTATTTCATCACAGAGATGGGAAGCTAACTATCACAAGGTAGCATTCTGGTTTTCAAAAAAATAAAGATGAATTCCTGAATTCATCCATGAATTTATTTCTTAAGGTTCTTTCTTATTCCAAAGTTTGAATTAAAACCTGCACCTCACCTTTGGTGTAAAGTTGGGCAAGTACAGATATAGCAGATCAAAATGTTGTCCACCAGCATCATGTAGGGGCAGTGCTCAGGAGGAAGTACATCTTTCTGTACTGATAATCCCCTACTCTTATGCACATGAGATAGCTTTTTACTTTACTAAAAATTATGGGTAATGCTGGTACCAGAAAATTTTACTTATAACAAATAAATGAGATTGTAAAGTTATTCACATTATGAAAGCATCCCTGAGTCACTTGGATATTGGATTACATGTTATTAAATATTTAACACATGTCTTTTACCATACTGCTTGAATGGTAAAAGAATGTTGCCTTGGAGATAAGAGCCATCTGTTTCACATGTCTATTCCTCTCAATTTCCTGCATTCACAAGGTTTTGATCTGGTTATGTGAAGAAAAAAGTGGGATAAATGATTTGACAAGTGGTCTGGAACAGGAAAGCAATTGAAACAGACATATGGGCACCATATTAATGCCTGTGAACAACAATTTATTATTTCACAGACCAGTCACAGCAAATCATCCTACATGAGTCAATAATTTTGACCAAAGAGTGAATAAATTGCTTGTCCTTATCTAAATTAAACAAACAAACAAACACATAGGAACAGAATGGTTACCCACCCCGGTCATTGTACTGTGTGTTTGTCCAAAATCTCAAAGCAATGCATATTATTCCAGTAGATAACTTCTTCAAAGAAACCAAACGAACTGATGTCAAATATGGTCTGCCTCCCTACACATTGGATTTGGTTTCTACTCCTCTTTCTTTGAAGCCTGGAATTCCATATTTTATCAAGGTGAGATGATTAGAAATCTCGGTTGCATTTCCTCATTTACTGGTAGGTTACTCCATCTATGGAAGAGCAGAAGAAAAGAATCTCAGAGATTTTGCTTCTCCATGACCTCCAGTGTAGGCATTTAAGTGATAAACAGAATTATCGGTGAGGAGGAATAGGACAAGGTAACCAGCAAGAGTAGGATATAAAACAGTAGCTCAGATCCAGGCTTGGTAATAATTTCACCCAACCTGTTGCTTAAGCACAGGTATGCAGCACAGAGCACTGCTTTTATTAAACATTCAGTATCCATTATCAAATTGAGGTAAATGTCATTTGTATCATGTATGCTTGGAGTGATGAAAACATAGCATTAAAATAACTGCATTGATCAATTGAATTAAATCCTATTTAGTTTGTGCTTGGGAATAAAGGAGAGAATTATCTTAGGATTTACTTTTTGTAACAGAATAAATATTAACTATTGCCATGGATTTGGTCCCAACAGGTGCAGGTAAAGGATGCTTTTGCCCATTTTGTAGGAGGGATTCCAGTAATCTTAAAAGCAAAAATAGTGGATAAAACTCAGGAGAAAAGAGAGCTGGATCCAAGGAAAAGTATAACAAATTATCATGATGGCATAGCTTCATTTATGGTTAACATTCCCACTGGTGTGACAGCTCTGGAGTTTCACGTAAGCAGAATTTGCATTTGTTGCACTTTCTAATATAGCCTCAGTCTTTATGGTAGGGATTATAAAGGACAGATGGTGAAGATTTTATGAATAAGTCCAGTGAACTCTTTGGAAACATTTTCTGAGAACAGAAAATATAATTTGGTGTATTGACCATTTCATAAAGGATCTAGGTTTGTTCATTTTGTATTTAGGGAACTTTTTTTCCTTCTTATGCTAAACACAGACTAAATCTGGAAAGTTTAGGACAAGAACAGCTACTGGAATATAAGAATACTAACAGAATATTTTTGTATTCACTATTTCCAGCTATCAGCATCTCTCCATAACTTCATATGACAGTTCCTCTAAAAAAAATCATCTATATGTTTTCCCTTTCAAGGTTCCCCCAACTACTGAGATCTGGCTTCTGCCCCTATGACTCCACTGAAAGTCCTCTTATCTGGTTACTCATGAGTTGCTTGCTAAGACTGTCAAATATTTTTCAGTCTTCATCTTTCTTGCCTTCTTGCAGGGGCTCAGTGGTCTCTTGGTGGTTCCAAGGAGAAAACAGTGAGGGGATTTAGAAAATAAAGACAAGAAGCAAAAGCTGAGGTCAGGTGGAGTGGCCTCTTACCTGATGGGCAAGAAGACTGAATAACAACAGTAGGAGCATTTATTTATACCTTTGCAAAGTTAGTATCAGGAGACATAAGTTTGCCTAGCAACTAATGACCGAAATTGTCCAGGCAAGATGCTTTTCTCAAGACTGACGTAGCTTGATTGCTTTAGGCACTCTGGTTCTGTCTTGCCCTCACACATATGACCAATTTTCAGCTTCAGCTGCTCCCAATATCTCTCCCTTTTCTGTTTAGCTGCAGAAGTGATGGGTGTTCAGTTGCAGTTGGAGAAGCTGTGCTTGGAGAATTCTGTAGTAAACCTTTTCATTTTTGATGAACTTACTCGTTTAGGCTAAAGAGTTTTAGTCCTTACTGTGGAAAGGGGCTGGGGTGATCCTTCTGAGACACAGATATGACTTTGATTAACCTTGCTTCTGATCATCTCTACAAACTGACTGCCCATCACTCTTCCCATCACACCCCCAACTCTAACATCCTGGGGAATGGCAGCTTCCTAACTCCCTGATTTCTACTGCCACAAGGACTTTGTGCCTTCTGCTAGGGACAATTCCTCAGTTTTTAATTCCCTAACTTTTAATTATTTGGATTTTAGCTTTTATCTCTGTCCTCCAAGGAATCTTCTACAACTGTCCTGTGCTCATGGGGTAGATATTTCCTACCCCAACTCTATCTCACAGGTTTTGAGTTTCTCAAAGACAAAAGTTTTGCCTATCTTGTTCACCTTTATGTCCTTGACACCTAGGGTAGTTCCTTACACATCTTAGCAAATATTGGTTGAATGAACACATGATATATCTCTTTTTAAACTTAAAGATGTGAAATGTCTGCAAATAACATTGAATTTTCAGCTTCAAATAAAATATAGATGGTTTTGGCCTCTTATTAAAAAACTTGAAAAGCATGGTACATACGTTTATAAGAGGGACCTATTAGCACTTGAAGTTCAAGAATAGACCTTGTTTATGCTCTTAAAATTTCCCTATCTTTCTCCTAAGAGGTGCTGAAATTACTCACTTTTATTTCCATTCAGAAACAATATTTTCATCAACTTTTAAGTTTGTGCTCCATTCCCAAGATCTCCCACCTTCCTGCAGGCACTGCACATCAGACAATGGTGCCACTGCCACTGCAAGGATGCCTGTGGGTTGGAACTGGCACTAAGAGGAAGCCCCAGGGCCACAACTTTCCTGGCAGGAGAATAAGAGATCTGGAAGATTCCAGCAGCCTTCAATACCAAAATCCTTAACAACTCCCCCTGTAATTACGAACAGCCAGAGCATTGGCTATGAAGGACCCCTGTAAGCTACACCAATGATGACATCACCTGCCCTCACTAAATGTAATACTTGCCCACCCTACCAATAATTGTTCCATCAAATGCATAGACATCAATGCAAGGCAATATAAAAACAACCCATGAAAAACCAAGGAAGCATAATGTCACCAAAAGAATACAAAAATATTCTAGTAACTGATCCTAGAGACATAGACTTGACTGAATTGACTGGCAAAGAATTCAAAACAATTATTTCACAGTATCAGTGAAAAACAGAAATGCAAAAATCCTCAGCAAAATACTAGCAAACCAAATTCAACAGCATACCAAAAAGATCATTTGCCGTGATCAAGTGGGACTTATCCCGGCAATGCAAGGATGTTTAATGTCAGTAATCAATAAATGTGATATAATATCAGTAAAAAATAAATGTGATATAGCACATTAACAGAAGAAAGGACAAAAAGCACATAATTATCTCTATAGATGCAGAGAAGGCATTTGACAAAATTCAACATCCTTTCATGTTAAAACTCTCCACAAATCAGATATGGGTAGAATGTAATTTAATACAACAAAGAGCGTATATAGCAACATCACACTCAATGGTGAAAAAGTAAAGGCTTTTTCTCTAAGATCAGGAACAAAACATGGACATCTTTCTATTTATTTAACATATTTATTTATATTTCTCTTTATTTAACATAGTTTCCTTCCATGTGTTTAACATAGTTTCTATGTATTCAACACAGTTTTGGGAGTCCATCAGAATAATCAGACTAGGAAAGGAAATAAAAGGCATCCAAATGGAAAAAGAAAGATTACATTGTCTCTATTTTTAAACAATATGACCTTATTTGAAGAAAACCCCCAAGACTCCACCAAAAAAGTATTAGAACTAATAAATGACTTCAGTGAAACTGGAGGATTAGAAAATCAACACGCTAAACTCAGTTATTGGTCTGAATGGTAGGTTTTAAAAATATGACCCAAGTACAACTAACAAAAACAAAAATAAATACGATTGCATTAAACTGAAGCTCTCCTGCACCACAAAGGAAACAGTTAACAAAACAAAATGACAACATACAGAGTAGGAAGCAGTATTTTCAAACCACATACCTGATGAAGGGTTCAGATCCAAAACAAATAGGCATTCAACTCAATAACAAGAAAAAAACTCAATATTAAAAATGAAAAAAACTCAATATTAAAAACTCAAAATAAAAAAAGGACTTAAATAGACATTTCTAAAAAGAAGACTTGAACTATATGAAAAAGAATGGCCAATATGGCCAATAAACTGTATGAAAAAATGTTCAATATCACTAATGTTCAAGGAAATGCAAATGAAAATGCTAATAAGCTATCACACTACACTTGTTAGAATCATTATTAAAAAATGAAAGATAATGAAGCATTCATGATGATATGAAGAAAAGGGAATCCTTACACATTATTAGTGGAAATGTAAATTAGTACAGGAGAATTTTAAGTTAAGGCAATCTGTCATTCAATACCATCATGTGATTATAGCTGATAATAATGTATTATTACTTGAAAAACATAAGTAAGCAACATAGTAAGCTATCAGCTTGAGTCAGCCATTCCACGGTGTATACATATACCAAGACGTCATGTTATACACCATGAATACATACAATTTTAAGTTGTCAATTTAAAAATAGTGCTACATACTTGCCTCTTTAGGGGAAATATGACTGCCACATCTTATTCTACATTTTTTCCCTCTCCTTAAATACCTGCTTTTGCCAGCCTTTGGCACTAAGAAATGAATCGATAAGTTAGTGTGTCATTTGAGAAGGAAGGTCAATCCTAGGTCTAGGACCTTTTCTTTCCTTTGATCTTGCCAGACTCTTCCACAATAGCCCAAGTTGGCATCATTAATTTTATTGAACTAATAGCTCTTTTGTGGTTGCTCGACAACTTGATCGCAGGCAGTGACTAACTTGGTTTTTCATAAGGTGCTGGAAAGTCTGAAGGTTTGTAGGGATATGGACGTATTCCTACATGTTAAGCATATATAGTCAGACCTGGGACTAAAAAATGCAAGGCAAGTGTTAGCAGTTAGCATCACCACCCTCATCATCATCACTGATGGTGCTCGCTTCGGCAGCACATATACTAAAATCATCGTCACTGATGCAAAGTTAGGCACCAGCACTTTTCATTTATTGGCATTGTCTCTTTCAGGTTAGAACTGATAATCCAGACCTTCCTGAACAGTATCAGGCCAGCAATGACTATCAAGCAGTGACCTACTCATCACCCAGCCAAAGTTTCCTTTCCCTTACCTGGACCGGTAGTCAGCAGAGTTTGCTGGTGGGAGAATATCTGAGTATAACTATTACCCCTGAAAGTCCATATCTTGACAAAATTACACACTACAATTATTTGGTAAGTTCAATAATATCTTACTGGCATCCAGTGTCCTATTTGCAACATTCTTTTACTTATACAAATAGTCTTTAAAATGTATGAAATTTAGTACTTTGTAGTTTATAAAGTACATTCACAAGAAAAGCTTTATGACAATTTTTTGGTTCAGCAAACAACGGAATACACTGGAAAGGCTGAATGACTTTTCGTGCTCGTAAGTACTGGCAGATAGGTTTAGGATTTTGTTAAAGCTCTTCTGACTCCAAAACCAATTTTCCTTCCTCAACATGATGCTAAAGATTTGGTCAAGACCTTCAGTCTCCCGACTGGTCAGTGACCCCAGCAACGTTTCATGGGTAATCAAAGCATTTCTTAAACAGTAGGCTGCTGGCCTTCTCTTATGAATATGCCTTATTTCCAAAGGGAAAAATTTAAGTTTTGAGTTCAGTAATGGATATAGTGATTCCAAACTTTGTTCATTGCTATTTAAAATACAAACTAGAAAGGATGTTAGAATACTATATTGGTGAGGGTTAAGGGTTTGAGTGAACAAGATCAAGGTTCTAATTCATATCCTATCACTTCCTTGGTCCACATTTATGATCGTCAGTTTCTATAACTACTAAATGGAATGAATCAGACCACAGCATAAAATTGTGAGGATTGAACATGTTCATGTGTGTATATCTGATGCATAGTAAATAACCCTGGACATTAAATTCTTTTTATCTCTGCACAATTTATACCTCAACTTTGAGCCCCATCTGGTGCTTATTTCTTGCTATGTATTTTTAGATTTCATCTAAGGGGAAAATCGTACACTTTGGCACAGAGGAGAGAATCCCAGCTTCATCTTCCCAAATTTTAAACCTTCCTGTGACTCAACACATGGTTCCTACAGCCCATCTCCTGGTCTATTACATCATCCCAGGAGAGCTGACCGCAGAGTTAGTGTCTGACACCCTCTGCCTAAATACTGAAGAAAAATGTGGCAACCAGCTTCAGGTGAGACATATATGCTTGTTCCCGGTCTGGATTCCTCCTGAGTGACTATTTAATCTCACATTAAGATGCTTTCTTTTTTGAAACTAATTTTAGATTCATCTGTCTCCAAGGAAAGATGTACATTTTCCAGGTGAAGCCGTATCGCTTATCATGGAAACTCAGTCAGAGCTGTGGGTAGCATTAACAGCATCAGACAGTGGTACATATGGCATCCAAGGAAGAGGCAAAAGTCCCATGGAAAGAGTTAAGTACGATAAACTTTATGGTTACTGGTGTATGGCATGTGTCTTGGTTACTTTTCTCTCATTGCTGGGACAAAATATCAGAAGCCCCAAATTAAGGAAGGAAAGGTTTATTTCTCTTACAGTTTGTGGAGGTTTCAATCCGTACTTGGCAGATTATAAGGCAGAGTGGCACATGGCAAAGGCTGCATCTCAGGGCCGCAGGAGGCTTTGGGGGGACACACAGACATAAACCATAACAGCATGACTTCTGGCTGAGTGGCCATTGTGGTTCTCTCAGCATTCCATGAGCTGGTTATGGGAGAAGAATAAAAGAAAAAGAGCAATGATACTAATGTCTGTGTTCTCAGCTTGATTGGAGGATAATAATTCTAAAAGCTAACATTTATTGAACACTTACTGTATGATGAGCTTTTCTCTAAGCCTTTACATCTATTGTCTTATTGGATTTTTGAAACAATCCTATGAGAGAGGAGATGGGTGTCAGTACTGCACACTGTATTTAAGACATGTTACCCTTACTAGCATAGTGCCATGCTGTTAATAACAAGAACTAAGATTCAGCTGCCTTATGGCCTGGGTGGAACAACACAGAATATCAATTGTGTAACCACTTTAAATGATCTCTTTAGATATATAAAGAGATATATAACCCATGTAATTTTCTCTCCAACCTATTTTGTTTTATAGTAACACTCTTGGAACTATTCTCAATGAAATGCCAAAATTCAAGCTTCTTTTTTTTTTTTTATAATTTTTTTTTTAAATTCAAGCTTCTTATAGACAAAAACACAATTTAATTCCGTGTTTAGGAACAAACTTTCAAAATTACCAATTCCAAACCATCTTCCCTTTGGTGACTGAGAGCATTATCTTGTTTGCTAAGCCACTAGGTGGTAGGAACAATAATCTTTTTTAATCTGAGAGAGAGAAATTTTAAGTGAGTACATAAAATTAAATTATTTGCTCACCTCAGGGGATGGATATGACTTAAAGTACAGTGGGTTAAAATGCAGATATGACTTAAAATGCAGTGTTCTAGTGAGTTGAGGTACTTCATTCACTGGAAAGGAAAGCAGAAAGGAAAGGCATGGTGTGGGTGAAAACAGGGCTCTACATGACAAAGTAATAGCAGTCACGAATAGTCCTTTCTCCTCTCTCTTCCCCTTCCATGGGCACAGGCCTCTTCCCACCCCAGTCAATCATCAAGAATCACTATCAGGGATCACAAGGGCCATGGTTACAAGTTTTTTGAGGCCTAAAACCTCCTAAGCAAAAGTAATTCATTGAGCATCCTTATGTTGCGTTTGAATTCCATCTTTGCTGGAGCAATGAAATAAATACAGGGTCTCATCCTGCTTCGCAGAACTTAGAAAAGGTCCATGAGGGATAGTGAGTATTTCATCTACTTATCCATTCAGTCCATCAAAGGATATTTTATGAATGAACTCACTGTACAAAGTTGGTTTTTTTTTTGGTTTTTCTCCAGTACCGGGAACCGAACTCACGACCTTGCGTTTGCCAGGCAGGCGCTTTTGCCGCTGAGCTAAATCCCCAGCCCCTGTACAAAGTTTTAAGAAAGAAGAGTGTAAATAGTTTTCTAAGAACTTACAAATGAGAGTTGTCCTTTAGGTTAGCTCCTGAGTGAATTTTTAATAGTGAAAATTCATTAACCCACAAAGTAAAAACTAGAGAAGGCAAGAAGTGGTCGGGAAAATTGCGAAATTAGATTTTAAGCATTCAATACGTGATTGTCCGGAAACTATCATTATCCACAAGTCAGGTACTATATTCCTGTAATGGCCAGTGGGTGCTGTGTTTTGAGGGAAGGGTTTCCTTTCTGAACAGGTATTTGGAGCTGCAGGGAAAATTGACCAGGGCTGTGGAGCAAGTGGCGGCAGAAGCAATGCTGAAGTGTTCAGCGCGGCAGGTCTCACTGTCCTCACCAATGCAAATGCAGAGGATTCCCAACAAATTGGTAATTAACTCTTTTTTTCAACCAAGTAATGTGAATATTCTTGTCATGAAAATACTGTGCTGCTTTGTCTGTCCCGCACCTATTCTTTCCCAAATCCTGCTTCCGCAACATTTCTTTCTTTAAAATTAAAATAATTATTTCTTTGTGGCAAGAACACTTAACATGAAATCCCTCCTAGCAAATTTTTAAGTGTAAAATACATTATTGTTGACTGTAGATACAGTGTTATATGTAGTAGATCTGTAGAGCTTATTTTTTTTTTTTTTTGCTTTATGCCCTTTAATTAATAACTCCCAAGTTCCTCTCCCCTTGCCTCTAGCAACCATCATTCCACTCTTACATTCTATGACTTGGACTATTTTAGATCCCTTATGGAAGCTGTATCATGCACTATTTGTCTTTCTGTGACTGGCTTATTTCATTTAGCGTAACATCCTCATAATTCAGTTATATTTTTGCTGATTGTGGAATTCCCTTCTTTTGGCTCAGAGTCCATTTTTTATATATATCATATTTTCTTGATCCACTCATCTGTTAGTGAACAGTTAGGTTATTTTCCCATTTTAGCTTTTGTCAGTAGTACTTCAATTAACAGGGTAATGACAATATTTCCTGAAGATTATGATTTCAATTCTTTTGGATAAGTACCCAGACGTGGGATTGCCGCATCATACAGTACTTCTATTTTTAATTTTTTGAAGAGCCTCCATAATAGTTGCAAGATCTTGGCTTTCCAGTAATACTGTGCAAGGGTTACAATATCCCTATAGGTTCACCAACACTTACCTTTTTTTTTTTTTTTTAAATAGCCATCCTATTAGGTATGAAGCAATATCTCACTGAGGTTTGACTTGCATTTCTTAAATATTTAGTGATGTCAAGCAGTTCTTAATATAACTGTTGGCTATTTGTATGCCTTCTTTTGAGAAGTGTCCATTCTGACTTTTTTGACTATGGTGTTGTAGGAGTCCTCCATATATCTGGAGATTAACTATATCAGACACGTGGGTTGCAAATACTTTCCCCACTCTATGTATTGCCCCTTTATGCTGTAGATCATTTCCTTTGCTGTGCAGAAGATTTTTAGTCTAATGCAATACCACTTATCTACTTTTTTGTTGTTGTTTAGGACATGGGTGTTGTGTTTGTGACATCATTTCAAGACTAGTATCAGGAAGGTTTTCTCATGTTTCTTCTAGTAGTTTTATAGTTTGAGGTCTTATACTTAAGTCTTTATTCCATTTTGATTTGATTCTTATAAAGAAAGTAAGTGCCCAGTTTCATTCTTTTGCATGTGGATATTTTGTTTACCCAATAACACTTGTTGAAAAGACTGTCTTTTTTCTATTGCACATTTTTGGCACCCTCTTTGAAGACAAGTTGACCATATATTGAGCATTTATTTCTGGCCTCTGTTCTCTTCCATTGAGTATATATGTATATATAGTATATATGTATACATGTATATATATATATTTGTGTATGTGTATATATGTACATTTATGTAGGTGTATATATCATATATGTGTGTGTGTGTGTGTATATTTGCTATTGCCATATTGTTTGATTACTGTATTTTGAAATCAGGTGGTGTGATGGTGTGATTCTTCCACCTTTGTTCTTCTATTAATTTGCCTATTCATGTTCCTTTGTGGTTCTATATGAATTTTAGAATTATCTTTTCTATTTCTGAAAAAAAAAATACCATTGAGATTTTGATAGGGGTTTCATTGAACTGTAGACTATGTTGAGTAGTAGGGACATTTTAGGAATAATGAGTCTTCTAATTCTTTTTTTTGTACCTTGTTTAATTGCTTTCATCAATGTTTAATCATTTGCAGCATGCAAGACTTTCACTTCCTTAGGATTATCCTAAGTGTTTTATTCTATTTTTATTTTAAATGGGATCACTCCTAATTTTCTTTTTAGATATTCCATTGTTAGTTTATATAAATGCAAATGATTTTTGAGGGTTATTTGCATACTCCAACCTTACTGATCCAATTTTTAGATCCTACAGTTTTTCTAAATGGAATCTTTAAATTTTTCTATCTGTAAATATCACGTCATCTCAAACAGGAACAATTTTGTTTTGTTTTTTCTAATTTTATTTCTTTTTCTTGCCTAATATTCTGCTAGTATGTCCCATACAATGTTTGTTTGTTTGTTTTTGTTTTTTTGAGATAGGGTTTCACTATGCAGTTCTGAGCTGGCCTCAAACTCACTTTGTAACCCAGGGTGGTCTTGAACTCACAGCAATACTCCTGCCTCCGCCTCCCAAGTGCTGGGATTACAGGCATGTGCCACCATGCCCAGATTCCTATAAATGTTAAGTAGAAGTACTGAGAGTGGACATCCTGAACTTGTCCTTGATCTTAAAGGAAAAGCTTTCATTTTTAACATTGAATATGATGTTAACTGTGAGTTTTTCATATATATCCTTTACTATGCTGAGGTGGTTTCCTTCTAATCTTAGTTAAGAGTTTTTATTATGAAAGGATGTTGCATGTCATTAAATTTTTTCCCTTAAATATGATTATGGAATGATGTTGAATTTCATTAAATGTTTTATCTTTCATTGTGTTAATGTGGTGTCACATATTTATTGAATATTGCACCTTGAAACATCTTAGCATCCAGGGGGAAATCTCACTTGATCACAGTGCATGATCTTTTAATATACTGGATTTGGTTATATTTGCATTTTGGTAATTTTTTTTGAGTACGTGTTCATCAGAGGTACCAGCCTCTTGTTTTCTTCCTTTTTTTTTTTTTTTTTTTTTGTTCCTTGAATCAAACTCAGGACCTTGCTCTTGCCAGGCAGGCAGGCATTTGTGCCGTCGAGCTATATCCCTAGCCCAGCCTCTTGTTTTCTTGTGTAAGCTTTGGTATCAGGGTGATGTCATCCTCATAAAATGAGGAACTGTCTCTGATGTTGTCCTCATAAACTTGGAATTGTCTCTTCTCTTCAGTTTTTGGGGGAAGAGTTTGAGAAGGATTGATGTTAATTCTTCTTTACATATTTATAAGAATTCACCAGTGAAGCCATCTGATTCTTAGCCTTCCTTCTTTGAGATGGGTTTAGTACAGTTATGATTACTGATTTGTTTATTTTTTGCTTAAATAAATTGCATTTAATTTGCCAAAAGTAATGAAATTATGAATTGCCCATAACTAGTATGGAAAGCATTATAATTTGATGGTAACTGGATACAGTTCTGCCCATGATAATATCCTTGTACTCAGTAAGATGTTATTAACATCAATAGAATGAACCATTATTACATTCTTGAGGATATGGGTAGGATTTTATGAAATATTTTGTTCCTTGTCTGAAACAAAAGAGTACTCACTAAGCAAATTTTAAAGAAAGGAGCAAACCACCTAAAATGTGTGCATTTGGCACTTTTATAAAATAATATTTGAGGTTCTTGAGACAATCAATACACTTGCAAAGAGCACATAATGACACTGCTACTGAGACACATGTTTACTCTAATCATGTGTATTCCTTTACTAATGACACAGACCAGGGTTGCTGTAGGAAATAGAATGTGATATCTGGTAAAATGAGCTTGCTATGACTTTGCAACTGCTTTCAGTGCTTAGATAATTTGATAGAAAAATTTATTCTGAAGGATGTTCTCTCTGGTTTTTTAACAGATGGATCACATAAGAACATTAACAGATCAAGAAGATCCTTGAAAGAGGAAATAGACAATCTAGGTGCTCCAAAGTTTCATTTTTTTTTTCCCAGAAGTTATAATGAAATAACCGTGAATGTGCAACATTTTGTAATTCTAGCTAATTGCTCTAGAAGAGGTAAAAAGATCTGAGGGCACATCCAGCTTTCATTTTCCACAAGGATAAGCAAACTGAGTAAATTTAACCCACATAGATTTAGTGCAGTCTTAACCTAAAGGAAATAAGTATCCTTCATGTGCGTTCTCTATGGTTACAGGGTCACTGTATATTTTATTTTCTATTAGAATAGCTAGTGCAGCAGTTAAATACAGGACTTCCAATAAATTCTCACAGTAGCTAGCTCTGATGAACTTTAAGGCTAAAAGAGTAGGTAAGGCTAATTGAATTCTTACTCTATGCCAAGCACTGTTGATGCTCCATCCTCATGTTTTCTTGTTGAATTCTCACATTTGTCACATGAAGTGGATACTCGTCATTCTAATCTTCCTGATGAAGAGGTGGAAGCACAAAAAAATTAAGTAACCTATTCAACTTCAAATGGAAGTAGTAAATGGCGGAGGTAGAATTCAACTTTGAATAGGACTGATCTCAAAGCTCCCACTTTGTTGGGGATAATTTTTCTCTGCCCCACAGAGCTATGAGAACAAAATGAGGTCAGGGTGGTGAAGCAATTAGCTCAGTAGGAACTCAGTACATGGTAGTTTATAACACTTGATTCTTTTTGGAACTCCTTCTTGGAAATGCCATACTCCAATCTAGGTAAGACAGGAATCGTAATCAGTACATTGTTGTTTCTGAAAATTCATCTATCTTGGCAAGTTAAAAAACTGGGAGGGAGGTGCCAGGGAAGTAGTTCAATGATACAGAATCTGCCTGGCAAACACAAGGTCCTGAGTTTGATTTCTGGTACCAAAAACGAAACAAAACAAAACAAAAAACAAATCTGGGAAAGTGACAGCCCTCTTATATTGTGATCCAGTCATTTCCCTCATGATATTGGCTCTTGGCTCCAGGCCTGGCTCTGCTCCCTAGCAGCTGTGACTGCTTCACACCTCTAATGACTGCAAAGGACGTTCTCAACTTTAAAGTCCCCTTTGGTGTGGTTTTTTGGGGGGATGGTATTGTTTTTGTTTTAAAGTAAATGTTCTTCTAAATACCCACCCAGACTTGCAGCTTGGCTGCCTTGACCAGAGGAGTGTAACTATATGAGGGTTTGGAAACCAGCCATGTCATAGGAAGACCACCTAAATTAAAGGAAGACAATACTATCAAATACTGGGTAATTATTCAAAAGAATGAAGCACAGAGAATTAACTCTGTGGGTACCAATAAGGGTACCAGTGACAATAGTTAAAGTTTGGTTTAGAAGTCAGGAAGAATTTTTCTGCAGTGACACCCTCTGTAATAGAATAGACTGCGCGGGGAGGAACAATTTCCCTTCTGGGAGCTATTCCAGCAGGAGGATTGTTGATCACTGGTACTAAATGGGGTGAGGCAGAGGGCACCAAGGAGAAAGTTGGACCAGAGCCTCTAAGCTCAGATCTGAGACACTAAATCTGTACTTGGCTAAGAACAGTTGAATTATCATCGCAGCGTCTCAGTTCAGACACCCCACCATCCAGAAGTGCTGTTACGATGGAGCCCATAAAAGCGAGGAGAACTGCACAGAGAGAGCCGCGCGGATCACTGTTGGCCCAAGGTGCGTGGCAGCTTTCTCTCAGTGCTGCAGCCGGGCCAGTGAGTTGCGAGGTGACCTTTTGTACAAGACGCCCCTCTTGGGTCGAGCACCAGGTATGTGTAAAAGCTTCTGCTCCATGTGCAGCGCCGTGGGAGGGAACCAGGTGGATTTTGTGCTGCCATCAAAAGTACTTCCAAATTTAGTTTAACATGCAAAAGATGAAGTAAACTCCTGCAAAACCACTCAGCAAAGCAAAGGAGACTGCTAGTAATACCATTAGAGGCACACCACTAATCCCAGTAGTACCACTAACCCACTGTGGAGGTTGTAGGTTTTTATCCATCCTCATGAGAGGTAATTTGTAAAATGAAAATGCTTGACAACATGATTCTTTGGTATTCATTTGTACAGACTTCACCAGACACACATAGCACGATGCTTAAAATCTTGCACATAAACAACAGTACACTTTCAAGAATTGAAATATTATTTTTAATTTCATCACAAATCATAGCCAACAAGATGAATTACAACTAAAAGAAATGCCAGTAAGCATACACGAAAGGGATTTCCTATAATTCATTTTCACATAGCTTGTATACAAAAGAGAAATGAATAAAACATATTTAAAATGTGTTTAATTTTAATGACCTACTTTTAAGTCTATCCTCTTTGGTTTTATTTATATTCTATTTATACTACTTGAGAGCACAGAAATTAACTGAGAGGATAATTCTGAAAAATATTGCAGTTTAGGTTGAATATTGTACTCAAAAAGTAAATTATTTATTAAAAAGATCTAATGATTTTCTTATCTTTCCATGAACATATAAATGTGCTCAAAATCTGAAAAATAAAATATATTTTGAAATATAAAATTTATTGCAAATCCTCAATAATGCTGTTAGTGTAGGAAACTCCTCCAGCAACTTATAAATGTACATATTCTCATGATTTAAAAAAATGAAAATAATTTAACCTACAGGTTGAAAAAAAAGCCAGTGTTGGAAGTATGGCTATTTTTACAATATTGGTTCTGCCTATCCAGGATCAGAGGATATTTTTCCATTTTATAATGTCCTCTTAAATGTCCTTTTTCAGAGTACTGTAGTTTTCATTATAGAGATTTTTCACTTCCTTGGTTAAGTAAAATTCCTAAGTATTTAATTTTTCTTTATGCTCTTGTGAATGGTATTGTTTTCTTAAGTTCTTTTTCATTATTGATGTACAGGGACACTTGATTTTTGTATCCTGCTGCATTACTGAATCTGGTTATTAATTCTAGAAGTCTTTAGGGGAAAGTTTTTGGAACTTCTGTGTAGAGGATCATGCCATCTGCTTTACGGATTCCATTTCTTTCCTATGCTGAGCATTCATGACTTCCATAATTTTCTTAAGCTCCTCTATTTTTTATCTGTATCTGCTCTAGAATCACTAAGCATGGTTTTCATTGTGGATACCATCTCTGCAGTTATCTGAGAAATTATTTCTAATTTGATTTTTTTTCTAGAGCCTCATTCAATTGCTTTGTTGTTACCACTTCAGAGAGGCCGGGTGGGTCACTGTCAGATTGTCGCAGCTCATTCCCTGCTGGGTTTGCTTTTGGTGAGCTGGATGTCTGGGATTGCATCTTGTTTAAGAGTCTTCTTCTTTTCTTTTCTTTTTTTTTTTTAATTCCTGGGCAGATGCTTGTAAACTGCCTATGGTGAGTTGCTTCATTGCTAGTATTTAGAACCCTTAAGAAATGACTACTTCTCTGAGGTGACTTCCAGGTGTAGCTGGTTTTTGGGTTTTGAGTCTGTTGCAAGATCCCTACCTCTTCAATTTGTTGAAGATGGGCAGTTGATACCTGTTTGGCCCAGCCCCTGATTCTTTGCACTGTGCCACAGTATTTTCTGTGACCCTTAGTCAGTCTCAGTTTTAGAATACCGGGAAGAACAGCTGGTTAGAATAGCTATGTCACTCTTGGCTAGAGTGGTACCATCAGGAATAGCAATAGCATCAAGCACAGCCTAGAAAATGACAAACAGGTAACCATTAATTTGCCACCTTTAACCATATGAACTAGATTTGTGGTTATATAAGAAAATCTAAAACAAACCAGAAAGTTATATGCAGTATGTAAGTCCTTAATATGTCAACTTTGTCCTCAGGGGTTAAAATTTAAAAGGGATTAGGGAGAAAACAGAAGTAGAGAAGAGGAAGAGATTAGAAGTAAGGCTGTATGTCAAGGGGGGAATCACACTAACTTTGGGAAACTGATGCAAACCACTGGAGGGAAAGAGAGAAGGAAGAGATAAAAGAAAGAATAGAGTAACAACCACACAGAGGCCAGAAACCATGTTCACATTCATAAAAACAAGATCAAATAATAAAGGAGAAAACAACAATAACAAAACAAACAAGAGAGAGAAAAAAGAATCCACTTCCAGGTTTGTCTCTGTTGTCACTGGTAGACAACGCTTGGAGACAGAGTCCAGATTTCTGCTGATTTATCCCAGCAAGCCAGCAGTTGCTTTATGGCGGGGTAGTGGATAATCTCAGTGAACCTGCACCTCTATTTCTCCTGAAGTTCAGTCTGTATTCTGGCTGTGGGGTCTGAGAGCAGACCCATTCAGTCTATAGCAATCAGCTCACCTTCTTCAGCAGGCCTGAACCCAGCTGGGAGCCGCTAGATGGAGCCAGCAGCTGCTCTGACTTCTGAGCTCAGCAGGCCCCTCTCCAAAATGGCACCCAGCCAATTGCTGTCTCCCACAGAATGACCAAGTCCTCAGCACTCACCCCCAGCTAGTACAGCCTTTCACATCCACTGCTCCCCTCCGCTGCTGCATCTCTCTGTGGAGGCCTCTGGGCTCACCAGCAGTCATCATGTGTTCACGGGTTGGAACCTCTACTCTCACGCAGTTAGTCCCCACTCAGGGAGAACTCTCTGCCAGCTCCCTCCTTCTTCTTCATGGAACTTTCTCTCTGCGGGTTTCAGTTCTTGCTTCAGATCCTTCCTGGGTCCAGGGGACGCAGTTCTCTCCTTCCTGTCTTCCTCTCATTGCTGTATTCCAGCATCTGGACAGCAACTCTCAGAGAGGCTCTTTCTCTGCTGCTTACCACTCTGTAATCTTGGTGCTTCTCCCTGATTTTTTACTAATTCCAATTACTCTTAAATTAGTTTTCTTTAGGTCATCTTGCAGCCATTGGATCTATTTTTTTCTGTTTGGTATCTTTTCATGGACTCTACTTCTTTGCTAGTCATTCACGTTTTCGGTCATTTTGTCTAGCTCACCTAGCTTTTTATTACTGCCTTCTGTAAACTTGTGATCATTTTGCTTATTAATCCATTGTCTGTTTAGTTATATCTTCTTTGAGCTCACCAAGCACCTTACTGGCTGTTTCTTTGTCTCCTCTATTATTTATTTTGAATAATTCAGCTATGTGGCTTTTGATTTTCTCCCCTTTGATCCTCCATGGATTAGCTTTGGGAGAGTTGGGAGTTTTAAGAGGCAATTTGTTGCCTTGTTTCTATTGTTTCTTATTTTGTTTCTTTTTGTTCTATTCTGTTCTGTTGTGTGTTGCTTACAGGCATGCACTGAGACTTTTGAGAGCTTATAGTGAAACAACTTTGTTGCTAGTATGAAGATCTTTTTAGTTAGTACCTGCTTTTCAGGGATACATTCTCGGTCTGGCTAACCATAGGCCTTTACCTCTGTGCAAGATCTGGTTGCCTGTGTTAACTTGGGCTGGTAGGATGCAATGTGTTTGGCATATTGCTCTCTGGAAATGGCTTGCAGTATTGTTAATGACACAGAGGTAATCCAGATATTGGCTCACATAGAAAACCTATTAATAGCAACAACTGTGCTCTCTGGTAATAGCAGATAAATCAGCAACAATAAAAAAAAATAAAAGCTTCAAAGACACACTGGATATTAACATACTATAAGAACCAATCATATACTGCTCTTAACCTTAAGGGGTCAATAATTATAGTATAAACACTAAGACAAACCAAATATTGACATACAATAAATAGCCACTAAATGTGACAACCATACCTCCATGATCAATAGGAAAGAATTGAACAGTAATAGCATATAGTTCACTATCCAAGATTAATAAAGCTTAATTGTTATACTAGTAAAGATAGAGTGGGTAAAGAATGAATGAATAAAATTTTTAAAATTAAGCAATGGAAGATGAGGAGGTGTGACATATGAGTTAAAGGATCCTATTAAGGAGTAAAAGGAAATTAATAGAGCTAGATAAAGGTAGCAAAAAAGAACAAATAAAAGAAAAAGGATGGAGAAAAAGGAAAAAGAAAATTTAAAAAGAATGATAAAGGAAAAAGGACATTCCTTCAAACCCTAAAGTTGTTAATTAAAAGTTAAAACATCTTGCTTTACCATATAACTCTATTGTATGTTATGTTTATCCTGTGTTTTAATTTAGGACTTCCAGAAAATCCCATACTGGTAGTCCAAGTTCCAGCTAAGACTGTTTTAGAAAATTGGTTGTGGGGAGTACATCATGTTTCTAAAAGGTATTTCAAGGTTTTCATCTTTATTTTCTTTGAGAAAATTTTGAAAAATATTCAAACATAATGAGCATATGGCCTGTTGTTCTTCCAGGAACTTATCTGATAACTAAGGGTAAGACTGACATTTAATCAAAGTTAATGTGACTGGTTGGTTTCCCCCCCCCCATCTGATTAACTACAGAGTAGATGATCTTTGCACAAGAATGTAATTTATCTTACCTTGAATTTCAACTAAGCATGTAGTTTGGAGAGAGATCTTTTTCAAAAACTTCTTTCTACCAAACGCTCTAACAATACGCATTGCCCATTGAGGCATGCATTTTCAGTGCTATTTTTCTAAAACAAAAAAAGAGGTGCTATCTCCCTCATACAATAAACACATACTATAAAGCACAGAAACCTATGAAGCTTGGGGGATGATTGGTTTTGTTCAGTTACCACACCTTGCATGATGTCCAACAGTGTTCTTTATGCTCCGTGACTCTAGTTTTATCCACTTTTCTACTCCAATTCATTCTCCAAACACAGCGACCTCAGTGATGATATTGGAATCCACTTCTGATCATCCTATTTCCCCACCTAAAGCGACTCCATGTCCTACCTAGTAAAGTCTATGTAGATTAAGAGGCCTCACCCAACAGCGGCCCTGCCTCTACCCCCTTTGTACACTTTCACCCAACACACACAATCACTGTCTTTGTGTTTTTTCTTGGAAATTCTTTTCTTTTTTTCTTTTCTTTTTTCTTTTCTTTTTTCTTTTCTTTTCTTTTCTTTTCTTTTCTTTTCTCTTCTCTTCTCTTCTCTGCTCTTCTCTTCTCTTCTCTTCTTTCTCTTCTCTTCTCTTCTCTTCTCTTCTTTCTCTTCTCTTCTCTTCTTTTCTCTTTTTATCTTTTTGAGACAGGGTCTCCCTATGCAGTTCAGGCTGGCCTGGAGCTCACTTTGTAGCCCAGGCTGGTCTCAAACTTGCAACAGTCCTCCTGCCTCAGCCTCCCAGGTGCTGGGAATACAGATGTGCGCCACCATGCCCAGCCTGGAAATACTTTCTTAGCCCCACACCCCTCACAAACTGTACTTCACATTCTGCTTTAACACTACAGTTTCTATATGATTCTATTGAAGCACATATTAACCTTCATGATTGATTACAGATTTCCCTCTTCTCCAGTAACTTTGTGGAAGGAAGACCCTCTGCTATTTGTCCTATTTGGATCTAAGAATTCATCTTGTACATGTTAGACAGTTAGGAAATGTCCATGGGACACATAATTAACTATTAGACTTCTGATTTCTGAAAATTCTTTTTATTTCATCTATTTTCACATACATTATTTTCTTAGTAGAGTTCACTGAATATAATTAAGTATTTAGCTGACAATTTGTGACAGTCTTTTGAAATCCTGATTGTGGAGTAGAGCATGGAGCATAATACGTGGGAGTACGTATTAGGTTGGACCATGTGTATCTATTGGTATTCAAATATTTTTATCTGTATAAGTAGCAATTTCATATATTTAATTTAATACAATGCATAGGCAATTGTTGTGAATGTGTAAAGTTCTCTATCGTCCTCTGATCTTCTAAGTTTCTTTTGCATCATGCCATGCAGAGTCCCTGATTTAAGTTAGTTTCCTTTTGCTTTGCCTTAAGACCCCTTATCTGACATGCACAAACATTCTTATTAACAGAATTTTTGGTTCCAAATGAATTAAAAAGACTTGCCTGTGTTAGATATCTATGAAATATCATATCTTCCAGGCATCAGATGGAGGTTGTGCTACCTGATTTCCTAACTACCTGGGAAATTCAAGGAATTGGCATTTCAGATAAAGGTAAGAAGCTGGTCTGATACACTATTTGGAATCTGGAAATAGTTTGTTCATTGTAATATATCTATCATTTTATTGACAGTTCACTCAGAACTTTAGGGGGTACGTATTTGATGCTCTCATTGTAATCTGGGTTAAAAATGAAATGTCTGCATCTTTGCACATTTTTATTCAATATTTTTACAATCCAACTCTTACTGAGTAACAATTATGGATCACAGTATCATTTTTAAAGAATATACATTTGATTTTCACAATTCAATATTTTTATCCATTTAAGTGAGTTCTATAGTAATTAAATAACTTTTTGTTATGTTGGAAAATAGGATTGGGTCAGACTGCTTAAAAACCCATGCAACTTTGTAACTACAGCACTAGCAATCACAGAGCCAGAATCATGACCACGTTAAAAAAAAAAAATGTTAATTTTAACAGAAAACATTCCGGTACACATACTTTTTTCTCAAAAGTAAAGGTATCATGTCTAAAGGAGTTTTATGGAAAGACTGAAGCAGAGGCTTCTGAGTTATAAAGGAAACAAAATGCCAGGCCAGGCATAGTGGCGCATGCCTGTAATCCCAGCACTCGGGAGGCTGAGGCAGGAGGATCGCTGTGAGTTCGACACCAGCCTGGGCTGCAAAGTGAGCTCCACGCCAGCCTGAACTGCATAGCGAGACCCTGTCTCAAAAGAAAAAAAAAAAAAAAAAAAAAAGTAAACAAAATGCACAAAGATCTGGGGAGATTTATAGCCACTGAACCAGAGGGAAAAATGTAAAGGGGCCTCATGTAATAGAACACCACTTCTTATTTGCTAGTTACATTCAGGCAAGTAGTATATTTTATGATCAGCTGCTGTTATGCAGTGGTATTAAATATTAATGATACAGATAACATTGTGTAACAATCAGTGGGCTACATGTCTATGATCCCTTTACTTATTAGTTTTTAGGAACTAATCACCATTCAGGCCTGTGGCAGAACAGACTGGATCTTTAAAACAAAGATCGTAATTTATATTTTTACTTTAGGGTCTTAAACAAAATTATTCTAAGATTGGCACAGATTATTTTGTCTTCCATTTTATTTTAAAATCTCACAGACTCCTGGAGGAAATATGAATACTAAATAGATATTTGATGACATTAGGAAATTATCATTGGCTTTTAGGGGTGCGATAATGAGATTGTGGTTACGTTTAAAGGGGGAAATTGTTTCTTTGAAACACATACAGTGAAATATTTACAGAGGAAATAATGTGATGCTGGGTTTACTTCTTTTTAATTTTTTAAATTTTTCTGTCTTTTTGAGACAGGGTCTTGCTATACAGCTCAGGCTGGCCTTGAGCTCACTTTGTAGCCCAGGCTGGTCTCGAACTTGCAGCAATACTCCTGCCTCAGCCTCCCGATTACAGGCGTGCGCCACCACACTCGGCCTTGGGTTTACTTTAAAATAATCTAGGAAATGTAAGGAGAGGGAAGCACGGGGGAAATGAAATTGGCCATGCGTTGGCAGTCACAAAGCTGGGTAATGGGAGTTGTTTATATCTTCCTCTGCAGTTGTGCAAATTTGAAGCTTTTTATCATAAAAAGTTTTTAAATTCACAAATAATCATTTTCAAAACTATTCATGACCATTATTGGAACTTTTGAGACAAAGTTTTGTCTCCCAGCTATCCGCTCACCTTATCTCTTTCACTACATCAGACCTTGTTGGATGAGCCTACCTAAAAGATCATCTGTCTGTCCCTTGTCATGTCCTCTCTCCCGGTACCTTCCTTAATGCCTCGTACTGTGTGTCCCTTCCAACATTTTATCGCATGTTCACGTCTCCCTGACTGGAAGACAGGCTCCAAAAACAGCAGTTTTGTCTGTACCACTCACTGTTGCGTATCATTGGTTGGAACAGTGGCTGGCCCACGGGAGAGTTTACAATATCAATTCATTGAGGAAACAATGGCCAGAAGATAGAACTTTCAGGAGCAATGATCCATATAGGGAGGAAAAGGGAAATTCAACTTATGCTATTTTGTCTATCCACAAAGTAACAAAAATACAAGAATTTGAATACACTGATGTGTACTCATACTGTCACCTCTTGAAGGTCTATGTGTTGCTGATGTGCTGAGGTTGCACGCCGACGAAGACCACGTCTCTGTCATAAACAACAATATTACAAGACTCAATGAAAAGCAACAGTTTTTAACATCAAAACCACAGGAATCTAAGTAAGCAGGTAAGTGCATGACTCTAGATTCAATGGCTGAGAAATCTGAGGGTAAAATCACTTCGCTTCAATGCACAAGGTATCTAAGCCTGTGTGGGGAGACTGTGAGGGTCAAGGAGACGGTGAAGACCTTTCAAACTATAGGGTATAAGGAGGAAGCTGAATGAAAATGTAGGCAGGAATATCATCACACTGTACTCGGAATGGTGGGAGATAAGAGAAGGTTTCCTTAGCTGAATCTGTAGAAAGAGAAAGCAGATTAGTGGTTGCGAGGTGTTGGGGAACGGGAGGGTTGGAAGGTTCCACTGCTTAGTGGAATAAGAAATGATCCACTTTGCTGAAGCTCAAAGAGCTACACAATAATTCCCAAACACAAACATAATCCTCAAACACTGTTATCAATATACATATATTTATTTATATCTCCTTCTTACCCCAACTATCATTTTGTGCTATCAGAGTGCTTGACCAAACTTGGAATGACAGCCTGCCCCCTGCTGGCTGGCTTCTGGTGCTTACGTTTTCATCAACTACCTGCCTGGTGGCCTGCTCATCCATGTCACCAACAGCCAGAGAAAAATGTTTATTTTGGTTGAGTACATGTTAGCAAAAAATTGCCCTTTTTTTTTTTTTTTTTTTTTCAGTACAGGGATTGAACCCAGGGCCTTCACATTGAGCTCCGTCCCCAACTTTTTTTATTTTGAAATAGGCTTTCACTAAGTTGCCCAGGTAGGACTCAAACTTGTGGTGCTCCTACCTCCCCTTCCTGTGTGCTAGGATTACAAGCATGCACCACCATGCCAGCTAAAGTTTTAAAATATGTTTAAGGTCTTAAAATGAAATATTTCAGCTGGGTGTGGTGGCGCACGCCTGTAATCCCAGCACTTGGGAGGCTGAGGCAGGAGGATCATTGTGAGTTCGAGACCAGCCTGGGCTATAGAGTGAACAGCATAGAGAGACCCTGTCTCAAAAAGACCAAAAAGCTGAAATATTTCAATATATTACTTAAATAAATTCTGTGTTCTAAAGAGAATGCTCCATATTCCTCCCCATGAAAAAAAGTTTAATAATTCTGCTAAAATTTAATATCATGTTTCTAAGCAGTTGATAAGCAGTATTTGTGAACATCAAATGCAAAAGGAAAAAAAAGGTACTGATACCAAATACAGTGTTCATTCTTTTTTTTCCCTTCTTATTTCAAAACCAAATGTTTCCCAGTTTACCCTCAGTTTAGGCAGTGCTAAGACCTTAGACCCACAAGGAAATCGGAACTGCACAAGTCTTCCAGGAACGCTGCACAATAAGAATTGGCTCAGTAGACAGGTGTCTCTCTTTTTCTGCCTTCTGTTTTCAGCCGTTGACTCAGAAATGCTGGTTGGTGCTTCAGGAACCTTCTGGACAGCAACCTTCTAGGTACCAGGATGATGGAACAAAAAAATTAATCCCTGCCCTACGACATGTAGAGGATCTATTCCAGCCCTTGACTGCTCACCACTGGATTTCTTTTAAGTGAGGAGGAAATAAATAAACGCTTGTTTTATTTAAGCAACAATTACTTTGATTGTCTGTTATATACAGTAGAATCTAACTCTAATTAAGGTAAAGTCATATTTAATACTGTTTTTATTGCTTCTAACAAGTATAATGTGTGAGCAGAAGTTTATCAGGTGCATTACATTTGCTACTTCTCAACCCCAGGTTTATGTCATCTTTCTAGCTCTTACCTCTGTTCTATTTTCTTCACACATTTGTCTCAAATATCTTGCTTTGTACTTTTTTTAATTGCACAAGCAATATATCAACCTATAAACAATTTAGACAACATTTCTGTATAGAGGCTATACATGTTTTCCTTCCATCTGGCATGCTTTCCCCCCATGTAGGCAAGCAGGCCAGTCTACAGAATGCCAACCACAGAAAGCCAAACCACCAAAGGGCCAGTTCAACCAGTGACCAGCTGCTAAATGTCCACCTTGTTGACTCTGTCAAACGATGACCTGGAATGGCAAATCAGTTTATCAAGAATCTTTTTCATATCTTTGATGGGAATATTTCTAGGCAATTTTTTTGTTCATGCTGGTTTATACTGGAATTATAATTTTCAAATTCTGATTTCTTCTGAATGCTTTCAAATTTGAAAAAAAAAAAAAAAAAGAATTTGAAGAATTGATGAGAGTAGGGCCAGGGATATAGCTCAGCGGCACAGTGCCTGCCTAGAAAGCACAAGGTCATGAGTGTGATTCCTGGTACCAAAAAAAAAAAAAAAAAAAAGAATTGATGAGAGAATACAATTCCTCAAAAAACTGCTAACTTTTGAAGCATAAATGCCATTTAAAATATCAGATCCCACCCCATATGATAAACTGCAGCAACAATTCTATTGTGCACAAAATGTTGAGACTATGGTGACTAGTAGGAAGCTATCGGGATACAGCTTCTTAAAAGCAGTCTCAATGTGAAAGGGAAAATATCAAAGAAATGAAACTAGGAAGCAACAGAACCAGCTTGTGCTTGTCTAGATGGCTAACAAATATTATTTGAAACTTTCAACACTCTTTTAAGTGGACTGAGGGGATAGTTATCTGTTATTTTATAAATGAGAAAAGTGAACCATAGTTAAAACTTGGAAGCATAAGCCACCTGAAAAATATAAGCTATATTTAATTATGTATTATAGAGAAAAGAAATGGAAATGAGAGTTGGACCAAAGAGAAAGAAACACGTTGCAGAGGTCAATGTTGATAAGATTTGTGAGAAGCAGGAAGGCAATTCTTACAAGAAAGTCAGCTAAAGACATAGTACCTAGATTACATTTCCCAGAACAATCACTAATTTTAAAAGTTAAATGTTGAGAGCCATCCTTGCATAATTGCTTTTTCATATTTTTTAATGGAATAAGTCACTAAATTTTATTCTACTAAATGAAGACCATTACCTCTTATTTCAAAGTCTTAAGAGGCAAACTTCATGGGAAAGCATTCTGGCCTCTTGGGTTGTTGCTGCTAAAATTCTTACTCCCTACCCCCAACACACAAAATCCAGCTACTTAGGAGACAGAGGCAGGAAGATCACAAGTTTGAGGCAAAGTTGGGCAGCTCAGTGTAATCACATCTCAGAATAAATAAAAAGGCTTAGGAGTGTAACTCAGTAATAAAGTGCTTGCCTGGTATGTGTGAGCACCTTGGTTTGATACCCTGACTGCAAAACAAATAGATAAGTTTTAAAAGTTGTGAATTGTTACCAACATATACAGATAGAAGTATTTATTAAATTAAAGTTCCAACCCAACCTATTGATCAAATTTTTCAGAGTTGCCCCATGTATTATTAATGTCTAGTTTACAACAAGAAAAAAATTACAAGACATGAGCAAAGCAGGAAAGTGTGGCCCACATAAAAGGAAAAAAGCCACAAAACATTGCCTAAGACACTGGACTTTCTAGAAACAGATGATATTAGATATTGCAAATATGATTAAAGAATTAAAAGAAAATATATGAATGATGTCTATAATCCCATCACCCTGGGAGTCTGAAGCAGGAGGATCACAGGTGGTAGCCCAACCTGGGCAATTTAGCAACTCTGTCTCAAAATACAAATTTTTAGAAAATGGCCTGGGAATGTAGCTCACTATTAAGGCCCTTGCTTCAATCACCAGTACCAAAGAAAAAGAATAAAGGAATACTATCTTATGAAATAAACAGCATCATAGAGATAAAAATTATAAACAAGAACCAAATAGAAATTCTGGAGTTGAAAACTAGGACAGCTGAAATGAAAAATTCACCACAGGCATCCAACAGTAGATCTGATCATGCAGAAGAAAAAGCTCAGCAGACAAATTGAGAAAAAAGCAAAAATCAGCAAAAGGAGAAGAAGAAAATAAAGTCTCTGCATGCCGTTTTGAATACCATCAAATGTACCAGCAAATACACAGAGGGAGACCTCTGGTACATCATCAAATACACCAACATATGCGTAAAGGGAGTTCCAGAAGGAAAGGAGAGGAAGAAAGGGGCAGAAATTTTTTGAAGAAATAATGATAAAAAAAGTTCCAAATATGATGAAACTCTTAGTCTACATGTCCAAAAAAATCAATAAACTTCAAATCAGTGGTGTTCTTGCTGTGTGTGTGTGGGGGGTGTCCCACATGGCACATTATTGGCCAAAAGGAAATTTATATGATAATAATTTACAGTTCTCTTGAACTGTTTGTGTTAAGATTTCCTATGTGCATCAGCAGCATCTCTAGCCAAATGACTGCTTACACAATAAATTGTATTTTGTGGTTTCTATAAGGACCTCACATTGCATTGAAGGTCCACCTCGAGCTACACGAACTCTAGCTATGCCACTGCTCCTAGTATGAAAAACTCAGAGAGGCAACACATAGGTACATCACAGTGATATTGTCAAGATCCAGAGACAAAGAGAAAAATCTTGAAAATAGCAGCAGAAAAGTAGCACCCCATGCCATAAAGGATCTGAAAAAAAAAATGGAAGGGAAGAAGGAAGGAAGAAGAAAGGTAGAAAGAAAGAAAGAAAGAAAGAAAGAAAGAAAGAAAGAAAGAAAGAAAG